GTCACTATGAAACCATACATAAGGTGACACCTGATGTAGTGTAAACACCTCACTGTCTTCCCCTTCCCCACTGATACTGGAATACCAGATTACTCAAGTACCACAACTACTATCACACCTGCAGTACCAATGTTTACCACCTGACGCTCACAAGAGTGCCTGTGAGGTGCACGATAAGGTACGCCAAACAAAGCGAGCAGAACACAAGCATCAGAGTACTGTACTATACCTGTACACTGTGAGAGAATGGGAGCGGTAATAAGCCAAATCTCTAATTATTTGTTCTCCCTCTAACATTTATCCTGGCAAACAAAAATTACTCTATCAGATTAAAGATGAGCCCAACATCCTCGTGAATACGATCTGCCTCCTGTATAGTTGCTCAAGGGGAGAGAGAGAGAGGGAAGGATAAGGGAGAGCAAAAGAGAGAGAGGGAGAGAAGGAAGAGAGAGAGAGAGAGAGAGAGAGAGAGAGGAAGAGAAGGATCAGGGAGAGAGAGAGAGAGGAAGAGAAGGATCAGGGAGAGAGAGAGAGAGAGAGAGAGAGAACACAAACCTGCATCATAGGAAGCAAATGTGGAAAGCCCGAGTCGAAACTTGCTGGAGTTGCCCTAGCACGGCAACGCCCTGTTAACCATACATCACATCCATGTCAAGTGTGTGTGTGTGTGTGTGTGTGAAGTGTCTCCACACCTACACCCTCCACGGTCACAGCTGACCACTGCACCACCTTCACCTCCTTCCGTGTCTGTGTACGTGTGCTATCTAGACTATCATGTGTGTGTGTGACGAGACTTGCTGTGTTTAAGAGTATTGTATCTATCATATCAAATGGAGTGAGGACGTACTTGTGCCATGAGTCACACACTCCCATCATGTATGTAATTCAATCCTGTAATTTAAGTATTTCAAACCTCAGCTTGTAAGCTCCATGATAATAATAACTAATATTAACAATAATAGTAATAATAATGTTAATAATAATAAGTGATCATTAGAATTATAAAAAGCTATATGAAAGGGCAATCCCCTAACACCCGCTACCCCTTGTAATATATGACAAGCTGTACTTAGCAATTTTCCCATATGAAGGTGATGTGTATTGTTTAATATGGGCAATATTCCTTACTATTGACAGACGTTATTGTGTTCGACTGTAGACCTGTGCTATAGCATATAGAAGACGGTATACTGCATATCTATTGCCCTGTTCTCTGGCTATCTTCAGGATGGAGAGGGTTCCATTATAATATCTAGACAACTGGAAATAGAATACGGTACATTACTGAAGAAATGTTTCTAGCACTCTGGTGACAGGGATTGTTTCTCATGCTAAAGATGACAATACTGATGGAAATGAGAGACAAGACACTTGTTAAGGAGACTGTTATTAGGCCACTTAACGATAGCTTAGAAAGAACCACTTTATCAAAAACTCCCCAGTAGGGTGTCACGAGAGAGACTGTCTAATGCTTGCATACTGCCCTTGTCATACATACACAAGGACTTGTATATAATACAATAGTTATGATGTATTATTAAGGATATATTTGTTTTCAATTGTACTGTATAATTATTTAAGCAATATATACTTATACAAACAGTCGAATTTTCCATCAGCGCTCGGTGGTCTAGAGAATACAGTACTATTTGGAAAAAGGCATAGTCTATTCTGTTACAGCTGACTCTCAAGCGCTGACACCTTCAGGAAAACTTTGTGAATTCTGGCTTGGAATTCAAGTATTTTCATGATTATATACAGTATATATATACAGTATACACACACAAACACTGTAATAATAATATATATATAATCATTGATCCACATGTGAATAAATCATTTATATAGACAGGGAAGTTCTGTCATAAATTGTAGCTGTACATTGAACGTAGCTTTTTATTGTCTATCTGTTATCAGCTCAAACAATGTACATATGCATAGGGTTTGTACTGGAACTAACAATGATCACCTGTGCTCCAGCTGGGCAGTCTTGTTTACTGCCCACTCTGTTGTAGGGAATAAATGTTATGTAAACACATCCTCTTTTTTTTTCTCCACAACCTAACTTATGCCAAACACATATATAATGTATAAACTCTATACATTATACCATAGGTCACCAAGAACTCTGTCACAAACTAAGAACATTCTCAGATTTGTAGATTCAGCACAGCCTCAAAACATTCTTGTTCAGCTGCAAGAATGATCCGGCTGGCCCCAACACTGGCTGCATGCTTACAGTGAACAGAACAAGCATAGTCAAAATTCCAGCAAGGTATGTACTTCCTAATGTCACAGAAGGCATAGCCTGGGATGTGATGGAGAACAAACATCAAGTAAGGTTATTTGAAAAAGAGGAGAGGAGCAAAGAACAGGAAGAATGGACATGCAGTGAATGGAGGGGAAGGTGGAAATGAGTTTCCAGTCAGGTTTGTTAAAATACTACTGGGATAAAAAAAAAAAAGTAGCAAAAGAATTGAGGAATGAGAGAATGGAAAAATGGTTGTTTTTATGGAGGTCATCAAGAACTCACCAATCCAGGTCCAGATAGATGAAAGTATTACAGATAATTTCAAAACTGGAAGTAATGCAGGTGAGATTCAACATTAGTCAGCGTGCCAATATTTAACAAGGGCAAAAATAGGATAAAAGGTTCTAAAAACAGCTATGGATGCAAGAAAATTGTCCGAGAACAATGCTTACAGTTAAAATTGGCCAAAAATAATGGTTCTGATGAAAACTCTAAAAGGAACTAAAAATCAACAAGATTAAAAGAGAGAAAGACAATGAAAACAAATAGTAGTACTGTATCACCTCTATTCACAAACATAGAATTAACTGTGTAATGGATGTGTGATGGAAGAAAAATAGGGGAAAAGAAAAGGAGCATCATTCTGGATTAAAAGATCAGTGGTGCCACTGGAAACAACTTAAGAAATTAAAATTTTAAGTTTACATAAAAGCCCATTTTTACATAAAAATCCAGCAGACACAGACCTTTCAATGCTTGCTTGACCATAGTCCAGCCCAACCCGTCCTCGGACCAAATCCATTCTATCCAGTGGTCGACCCCAAATACGCAGTCATCAATTTTAACATTGTTTATTCAAAACAGAACTTTTCTCAAATATAAATGATTATTATTATATATTAGCATATTGTGCATATTTAGGCACTGGTTAGGTTAGGTTAAGTATTTAGGTTCTGTTGGCAATTACAGTATTTGTATTTGTAGTACGTGGGTGAAGCATTTAGTGTTATAGTGCGAACAAAAGTCGTCAGCGAAGCACTTGTTCTGACATCATCAGTTGCAAGTCGTGAGTATATTGTTTTCCATTCATAAACACGGGGTTTGGTGGGTGCATGGAATGAACTTTGGGTCTTTGTTTGGAGGACAGGCTGTCCAGCCAGATTAGTCAACTGATTCAGTTGGGGATCATTAAACCACCTCTTTTTACCCTTTTCCTTTACCCCAAAGAACCCACAGCCTCTGAGTTGGCCCAACTTCTAGCTGAAGGAAAATTGAGTAATATACAAGTAGTCATGCATAGAAAATGAACAGGTGGCAAATCCACAGATAGCTCGAGTCTTCAACCCAGCTGACATCCAAAAAAAACACCAGAGGCTGTTGGCTTCACACAAAGCACTCAAGCCCCACCACTGCAACAAGGTAGCTGTCAAAGGGTAAATTGACTTCTAAAAGCATGGTTTGTGCTATCATTATGGTCAATGTTGATCAATTCCCATGGGTGCTTTTTACCTTGTCAATGTACTAGTACTGTTAACTTACTGTCATTCAAAGATGAGAACAGTATTTGTTGCTATCTAGGATAGTCCAGCTCAGCCTGGGTTTGTTACCTACATCCTTATTTATGGCAACAATCACGGGATGCTGACCCAACGACTCATGTTGCGTCACAGATGGCTTACCATAAAATAGGTGCCCTAAAGTACAGTAGTCAACACGGCCAGCTCTCAACTGAGAGCTGGCCGTGTGCCTTTCTGTCTTGTGTGGCATTTTCTTGTCTTGTGCTGGTGCTTTTCAATCTTGGCCGTGCTTTTCTGTCTTTTTAGTCCCTACCGAGGCAGGACTAAAGAGCCAAAGCTCAACCCCCGCAAGCACAACTAGGTGAGTACTGAATGGTCGAGTGCTTGATCGCGCACAAAACAAGACGTTTGGGCACATTTCTTTGTACCCGATGCCTTTGTTCACCTAGTATTAAATAGGTGCAGTACCTTGGAGTTAAGCAACTGATGTAAGTTGCATCCTGGGAAAAGTAGATTACTAGCCAGGGTGACCTCAATAAGCCTGATAGGGTTCATATTCCCAGCAATGGGAAATCATGTCGAGGTTCTGAAGCCAAACTTACTATTACTGTCTTGTAGTTTCATGTGATCGGTGCTGGGCACACTAACAACTACCCTGTGACCAGTAAGGGCACTTCATAAGCCACACTAAACTGCCCTCAGTATAGTAAAGCCCACAAGCTTCCCCAACATTAACAGTGTCCATGTGGAAATGGATAATGGTACAAAGTTTTCCTATTGAGAATACCTATTCAGTAAATACAATACCACTACATTTATAAAGACAAATGTACCACTACATTTGTAAAGTTTGTTTCAAAGCAACGATCTTGTCTTTTATTTCTTAACAAGGCACCCAAACTAAAGGGCCAGTACTTTAGAGTTCGAGGTGAATCAGTCAACATATGCAAAACACTGCCCAGTGACAGGAGTGGATGAAGGGAAGAGAGAGGAATGCAAATACTCAGTAGGACTGAAAGTGTTAATGGAAGTACAGTACAGCTCCGGAGCAAATTACAGTACAAGAATATTATTGAACAGCAAATCAAAAGAATTGAGATTAAGAAAATAGTCATATATATTCATTCAGATAGATGGCTACGGCAATGATATAATCCCCAGTTTGATCAATACACAGTGATAGATTTTCTAGAATCTGCATTATATTGTAGAAATGAGAAAACCTTAAACTGTCAAATTTAATAAATCTTTATTGTTCTTGGCAAGTACAAAAAGACTTTACAAAAACAAAATACAAACAAAATTATATTTTCCCATATAAAATACTCTGAATTATTAGTGCAGTTGACACATTGCAAGAACATTCAAACCGCTTATACATTTCAGCTTCGCTGTTTCCAAAATATTTTTGCATGCAATTATAAAAGCTATATAATTTGCAGTTATATACAGGTGGACAAAATATATGTTTCTGCAAAATTCTGTTTTTTTTTTTTTTATGAGGATTCTACCAACGATCCAGATAATATAATGCTTACAAAGCAGCTTATATCTATACCATACAATGTATAACATTATAATTATAATATCAGTATAATGAACAGTATTATACAATTTGTGTTTATCCATAATCCTGTCATAATAATTTGGAGGAATTTATTAAGACAGTCTCCTGACTGGTTACTCAAACTTGAGGCCTTGAGCAAGCGGAAGTTCTTTGGTATAGTTAATGGTGCACGTTGAACGACGCATGTACTGCTTCCAAGAATCCGAGCCAGACTCCCGGCCTCCACCAGTGTGCTTCTCTCCTCCAAAGGCTCCGCCAATCTCGGCACCATTAGTAGGGATGTTGATGTTGATTATACCACAATCTGAACCCTTGGGACCCAGCCACTGGTGAAGGAAAGATGAAACATAACTATATATTTTCATACTGTACTCTTATTCCTAAATTGAAATAAATGAAATGAATTAAATGTATGGAGATAGAGAGGGAGAAAGAGAGAAAAAAAGTAAAAGAAATAAATAGAAAGAGCCTAACCTTAAGAGAAAGATTCGTGCTTAACCTAATTCAAAAGGCAGCCAGGAAACTTACAGCCCTACTGCACATTTCTCACCTTGACAAGCTGGGGCTGCAAAATCTTATATGAAGCACACGTTTGCTCTCATCTTGAGTATGCACCCCTCTCCAGGATTGCCTACTCTCCATCATTCATCAGATTTTTGGACGAAGTAGAGCGCCATGCAAGAAGGCTCATCTCTAGTCTTGACCAAGTCTGGTGGGAATGGTCTTAACACCAGAGCCTGCAACACCGTCATGACAATGGTGGACTCACTGTTATGTACAAGGCCAACATTCTCTCCCACTTGGGCTGGACGGTAGAGCGACGGTCTCGCTTCATGCAGGTCGGCGTTCAATCCCCAACCGGCCAAGTGATTGGACACCATTCCTTCCCCCCATCCCATCCCAAATCCTTATCCTGACCCCTTCCCAGTGCTATATAGTCGTAATGGCTTGGCGCTTTCCCCCCTGATAATTCCCTTCCCTTCTCTCAAAGTTCCACACCTGACCCAACTCTATGGACAACTAGTAGTTGGTACCTGTAACACTAGGCTCTCAAATTTCAACAGTCTCATGCTGGAACTGCCTTTATCAAGAACATCATTCCAAACAATCATTCATTTTAAACTGACTTGCATCTGAAACTTGTTCGCTCAACAAGGTTGATGTGTAGATCAGGTCAACTGACCACATGAAGGCTCGGAGCTCATCCTGTTCCTTGTATGATTGTTACCAAATGTTGTTAATGAATAAAGTTTATTCCTAATGATGCAAATAATAGGCTCATGAAAAATGGGTCTCCAGGAGTAGGTTTCACCTGAGCTGAGCTAGGATTACAGCTCTTGTTTGCAGTTTCCCAAGGAAGCAATTAAATCAGCAGATATTTTTGGAAAGTTATTAGGAATCAAATCTCCAGTTTTATGGAGAACAATGACCTTCATAACCCAGGCCAACATGGCTTTAGAATTGGAAGATCATACCTTTTGTAATTACTCTACCACCATGGCAAAATCACAGACGTATTAGAAAAAAACAAATGCAGATGTGGTATACATTTGCGTGGACTAATCTTTGCAAAATATGTTCATAGAGTGATAGCCCATAAAATGAGAGCAATAGGAATAACAGGTAAAGTAGAGCAATGGATATTTAATTCCTGTCAAACAGAATGCAGAGTGACAGCCAAACAAAATCGAGTTCAAGCACAGTGAAAAACTCTATACCCCAGGGAATAGGTTCTTACACCACTCCTTTTTCCCCCATTCTCATATCAGATAAAAATACAAGTTACAGATTTGTGCCATCCTTTACAGATGATACAAAAATCAGCATGAAAATTACTTCTGCAGAAATAGAAGACAATGAAGAAATTTTAAGCCGATATTAAGTCTTCAACAGGGTAATGGAAAACCACATTTTCCATTACTCGGTAATGAAAAGAGAAAGAGACAGACACAGACATGCAGAGAGACAGAGAGGTTGAACAACTCTTTCTCCTACTCTGTAACAGAGGAACCCCACATTGTTTCGATCCCTCATTTTCCAAATTCTTAGATTATCCCTCAGAAATTTCCGGTTCTTTATCCCCATTAACCAGAGAATATCTGGGTTATTATAAGAAACTATAATTGCACATGCACAAAATCCTAAACAAGAATGTTGTTGAAACGTGTTGAAAAAATGCAATGTATTTATTAGTGTTCAAGGACATTTTTCAGAATATTTAACAATGATCAAGAGTACTAACCTTGAATACATTAGCAAGATTTTGAGTGAAAAGCGAAGAGGAGAGCCCCTGCTTCACTTCATTGTTCCACTTAATACCTTCATCAACCGATGTACACTTCAGAATGTATACAATTGGGGCAAATGTTTCCCGCTGGACAACAGGAGAGTTATGTGGCAGACCAGTAATGATGGTTGGCTCTGCGTAGTATCCCTCTCGGTCAAGAACCTTACCACCAAACATAATTTTACCTGTAAAAAATGCATAAGCATTTATAAAAGAATACATAATAAATTTATTAATAACTAATGGTAAATACCTTTTGCAAGATCTGCAATTATGTCACCCATTCTTCACTTGTGCCACACACACACACACATCTACCCTTATCTTGCATACAGAAACTGAAAGTTTTGCTCGAAAACATTTAGGTCAGCAAGAAGTCGAGCTTTTAATACTCTCGTCGTCCTCCTCTTTTGTACAGTACAGTACTGTACTTTGTGCATATTATAAATTTCTAAAAATCCAGTTTTGTCTTGTTTACTCTTAAAGTTGTGGATGGTGCTGGCTTCTGACTGGTAAGACAGGAAGTGTGCATTAGCCAGGAAACGTGTGAGTTGGACAGGGCAGAAGCAAAGAGAATCATGGCTAAAAATTCATTAAATATTGCATTTCTAAGTGCTCCCAGCCAATGGAGCACTCTGAGAAGGTAAATAAACAGTTTACACCCAACACTTGAGGGATGAATTAATATTCATAAACAACACTAAATGCACTTCCAACATTCACCTGTGGTCAAAGCTAAAGATAAGGAACCACATTACTAAACACAAGGGATGTTTGCCCACAGCTAGTGTACCAGAATGCACAGAATTTTTTTTTTTTAGAATGCACAGCTAGTGTATGCTAAAAAAAAGTCAAAAGTGAAATTACAATAACAACGATTTTGTACTCATACGCAAACAAAAACATTAATAAAGCATGAGACCCCACCACAAACCATGTACCAAATTGGAACAAGTCACTTCTACTTTGAATCTGGTTTCTGGCCTCCCACACTGACCTGTCACAAACCCAGTCAAGATGTGGCGAGTAGAGGGAGCAATATTGTAGCACTTCAGCTTAGAAGTTGGGGATAGTGGCTAATTAGGTTAACTGGTAATTACCAAGAGTGCTAATTGGTAATTATTACTTGCTACTAATTTTCTACTCTTAATTTACAGTAGAAATTTAAGAGGCTTTGATTGGTTTCATGGAGCCTTTTTGCTTTTGCCCTCAAGCTGGACAGAATGATCCCCAGGGAGACCTAACACTAGTAGGACCAAGTAGAGACTTGTTTAAACTGATCCTGAAACACTGGAGCAGACCATCGTCCCGACACAACTTCAAATACTGTCCTACAGTATTTGTCCAATCGACTTGAGAATGGTCCAGGACAGACCGAAACGCCGTCGTCCCTTCACCTTCTAGTGTGTGGTCTGGTCAACATACTTTAGCCACGTTATTGTGACTCATCGCCTGCACTGTCCTACAGACCAAGTGAGAACATGCCTTAAGGAGTAAATGTAATATCTCAGAAAAAGATATTACGTATATAATATTTAATTAACTTGAACAGCATATCAAGATATTTTATTAATGTACTGTGATACATTAATAAATAAATATGATACATAAAAATGATACAATCTCTGACGTATATATATGCTCAACAATTGGTGATCGCTACAGGAAATGTTACGTTTACATTTGTTTACTTTTTTGAGGTAATGAGCATTATTAGATTGAATAGTTCAACAATTAAAGTGAAGAATACAGAACCAGGACAAGAAACATTGGAAAAGCTTAGTTTGTAATAAATTAATGTGGAGTACTTTCTGCATAAACAGGCTTGGTTTATAAAGCTGTTTCAATAGGTGAGCAAACTATATCATTTTTTGGTTACATTAACCAAGATCAACTACCTTGCTTGCCAATGGATTATAATTTTATAATTTTGTTTCAAAATCTACCTATTCAATAACATAAGCAGAATGTGCATTGAATAATATGTACCTCACTGTTGGTTGGTTAAGCACCAATGAGCCAAGCTAGTAATTGGTCGGGTGACTGAAGGACAACCTTGCCCTTGACCACATTAACCTCAGTAAGCCTATCAGGCTATTCCCCCCCCCCCCCCCGCCCCATACACTGGTCTACCAAAAATTTGCTTATTTACTTGGAAAATGGTGACTATTTAGCTGAAGAACTGTTATGTCAGACATTAATTGGCAAATTTCTCAGCATAGTAATAAGACACACCTCCAAGAGCCTGTGCTTCCTCAATGGTTTTCATATAACCATCAATGCCTTGCTGCGAGTGCATCGGTCCATACAGCACACCATCATCTAACGGGTCTCCAACACGTGACATAAAACTACCATATGCCTTGATCAGACGCTCCACTACAATGTCATACAGCTGGAATGGAAGATTATAAAATTATGTGGAGATCACATTCCTCGACTCATTCACAATTAAAGTTATTAAAGGTAATGCAGCACTGGGAATATCCATTTGAAAGTGGACAGCCTCAATTTTTTATATTTAATAAAGTACGGTATTTGCTTGCATGTCTTCTACTACATTAATAAACCATCATTAATGACACACTGTTCTTAGACAAAAAATATATACTATCAGTGGGGGTACAATGCTCTTAAATCAGTACATCTTATGATCTCCTAGCAAAATGACCAATTATAGGACTGCTCATTGAATCATTACCATCCAGCAAACTGTCTTGAATCAAAAACATATATGTAATAAGATGCAAATGACTACCTGTTCTTATCTTGAAAAAAATTTATAGTAACCACAGGGGCTCATAAACACTAGTCCACGTACACAAATAAATTGTTCATAACCTTTGCGAGACCAAAACTAGAATATGCAACTAAATGGCTCTCAGAACTGAAAGACAAAAGCTACGAGGAGAGGTTAAGGGCATTAAATATGCCATAACTAGAAGATAGAAGAAAAAGAGGCGATATGATCACTACATACAAAATAATAACGGAAAACGACAAAATTGATAGGAAAGAATTCCCGAGACCTTGTACTTCAAGAACCGGTTAGGTACTTTCTTTTATAAGGAGGTCATAGATTTAAGCTAACTAATCAAAGCTGCCAAAGAAATGTAAGAAAATTAACTTTTGGAGAGTGATAGACGGTTGGAACAAATTACCAGTAAGTGAGAAGGTGGTGGAGGCCAAAACTGTTAGTAGTTTCAAAGCGTTGTACGAGTGTGCTGGGAAGAAGGGACACCAAGAGTATATCTCATCCTGTAACTACACTTAGGTAATTGCATGTTCCAAGATGAAAGCAATTAAAATGTGATTTGCTTATACAAAAAGTGTAAATATAAAAACATTACAGCACAAGGTGTCCCCATGACTGATACTCTACATTCTACAGTACACTGAGAAATAGACAAAACTAATTAGGTTTGTCTTTACAATAAGGTTCATACATCATAAGAGTTCATAAAGACATTGGCAAATAAACCAGCAAGTTCTTTAAATGTCTCTGAAACTATGGTGATCTCAGCTTACCGTCTCGTGTACAATAAGTCTCCGAGTCGTGGTACACCTCTGTCCAGCGGTACCAACACATGCAAATAATGCTGCTCTCACAACCATCTCAAGATCAGCATCCTTATCCACAATAATAGCATTGTTTCCACCAAGTTCAAGCAAATGGCGGCCAAAACGCTCCTGTACCATCAGTGCCACCTGCAAAGCAAAAACAAAATAAACAAAAATGATATAAATGTACTTTTGAAAGTAAATCTATATTTACTTTCAAAATTTCTAAAATTTAAAAAATACTTGATTTCCATATGTAGAAATCAAGCACTATAATGGCAAGCCCCATAATTGTTTGGCCAAACAAATGCTATATAGTTATTATATAAATACCTATACATACACTTTATACTGTAATCTTGCATGTTTATAACTTCCTACCTCCTTTCAAATTACCAATAGGTAGGCTGCCCTTGGCCTATTACCCCTTAGTGTCTTATATAATGGTCATATTCCCCACTTCTGCTATACAATGTTGAGAGATCGAGTTCCCCTATTTTGTTCTCATAGCTGAGCCCCTTCAATTCTAGTACTAATTTAGTTTCAAGTCGCTTTACTTTCAAAAATATACTCTTACATTTCAGGAGGTGCGAATTCTATGCAGATGCTACATACTCCAGAAATGGTCTTGCATAGGCAGTGTACATGAACTTTCCGTCTTATTCCGATTTGTAAATGATGATGTTCGTCAACTTCCTATATGCTGCTGATGATATCCGGTTCACATGAGCTTCTGGTCTTATTCTTGCAATTATTATATCCAATTGTAGATTTTGTCTCTTGTTTAGTTGCCTTTCCCTTATAATGTTTTCTACAGATCTCCTATTTCCTCTTTCCTCATCTACAATTCCATATACAGTTTCTGTACTTATTTGGATTGAATTTCAACAACTATTTATCTGCCCACTCATGAAGTTTATCAAGCCTTATTACAGAACTACCATTCTCCTCAGTTCTTACTCATTAACTTTACATTATTATAGAGATATACACACCCACTGTCTATGGCAGGTGGTTTACAGAAATTAGAAGCAGCAACGGACCTAGGACAGAGCTCCTGAAAAAGCCTACTTCACACTTTTCCAAAATGATATCCTCTGACTATGATCCTTTATTTCCTTTGACAAGATCTCCATTACTCAGTTCAGTATCCCTGCTTGGCTCTGCATTGTGTGAAATAGTCTTTTGTGAGGAACTATCAAAAGATTTCCAACAGTCTAAGAAGATGCAGTCTACTCATGCTTTGTTCTCTTCACCTTATTTTGGTCACCTTGTTACCATTTAATCTAATAGGAAATTTTTTTCCCCTTCTAAATCCGTGTTCTCTACACTACAAAATTTAATCTCTCCAAGCCTTTAACTATTCTTTTCCTAAGTGTTTTTTTCTGGTGTTCTACATAAGATGCATGTTTAGAGAGACCGATTTATATTATGTGCTTCACGTTTGAACCCTCTTTAATATTGAAACCATATTTGCCTCTTTTTCTCTCTCAGATTTCCCAAGGAAGGATCTTCAATTATGTCTAAAATCACAGAAGCTGCTGCATGCGAGTCAGGCTCTAAACTGTGTGTGTGGGGGAGAGGGGGGGAGGGAAAGCCATCCTATAGCAGAGAAACTGCAATTCAAATCACAACTAACCTTTATGCAGGAAAACCAGAAGCAAGATAATTTAATTACCTCTTCAGAGGGGGGGGGGACCAATCCCTCCATAATGTACATGCCAAATTATGCCTAAGCAAGAAGCCTGGTTCTTCAACAATATTAAGATTTATTTATTTGTAAAAAATTCTCAAATTTTAAGCACATTATATTGTCGTCTTTGCAGCAAGGAGCACTAAAATTATTGGGAATAAAAGATAATTGTGAGCTATTGATTTTATTTTAATTTTTTTTTTTTTTTTTGCAATGGAAAAGTTAAAAAAAATTAGAATACCAGTAGTTGATGTTATGATCTCAGCCTACAGGAGAAACGAGTCTCCCTCCTTGAGAGTTATTCGTCAAGCCTGACCTGATTAGAAGGTCTAGCAAAATTTGAGGTGATAACGCATATGTAAAATAGTTGATTGGATATGTATAACAGTTTGAGATCATGGGCAATGAAGAAGAAAACAGATAAATGACTGGCGAGGAGATGTGGACATTTTGCTGGAGGCGTGAGGCTCGCTTCCGGAGGACCTTGACCTCACTTGAGTGCCAGACATCGCAGGGGGAAGCCGCGCTCCACTTGAGCTCCCGCCAGAAGGGAACCCCTAGTGATATATCTCGAAGAGAAGAGAAGTGTGTAGACGTGCCAGCTGTGGAACCGAGCTGGGAACGTTGTGGTATCAAGTCCTGGTCGACGAGCAGAGTTTAATAAGCTACTCAGAGGCATTTTCGTGGGCTGTGTGGAGCGCCCTGACCAGACGCCGTCAGAGGAAAAGCGCCCTCGATCAGTTAATCTGTGGTAAGCACGATATACGCCAGTTCATAGTGATCACTTGTAGTTGGTCGTGTGCCCAGCGACAGTAGCAATGTTTATTTATAAGTTAGACATGTTTTAATAAGGCAGAAAGCCTGAAATAGGAGAGTGAAGAGGGAGGAGCACGGAGCGACGTCCGCCCCCTCTGAGCGCTGGCGGACGACTGAGGGAGCCTGGCTCTTGACGGAGGAAGACCCTCCCAGCGAGTGAGGACCGCCGCCAGGCGAGGTGGAGTATGGACCCGCCCAAAACGGGGGAGTCCACTCTCACTGTATGTAGAGAACAGATAGAGGTTTGAGGCAAGCGTATTGTGTGGTTATTTTTGTTTATGTGTTAAAGGGGAACATTTTATTGGAGTGTCGATGGGTTGCAGGTTTGTCTTTTGGGGAAGAAGTTGCAGAGAACTTCGAAGCCAGCAGATGAAGTAGCTGATGAGACTCCAAGGTAGTGGAGCAGAGGACCTCGAGCTGTGAGGAGAAGCAGCAGTGAAGAGGAGTGTCACGTGCTTCTGTAGAGGTGGAGAAGCACCATAGTTGCTCGAGGAAACTTCATGGTGTAGCAGCCAAGAGAGCTGTGGAAGACCCTAGCAGAAGGGTGAAGCACCGTAGTTGCTCAAGGAAGTTTCATGATAGCAGCCTGGAGGAGCTGCAGAGGATCCTGGTAGTGAAGCCCGGAAGAACCTAAGGATATTAGGGTAGTGAACTTCCAGAGGTGGAAGGGGAAGTTCTGGTGGATTACTTATAGGGAGTCGATAGTGTTTGGTTGTCATTAGCGTGCAAGACGCAGTGAGAGGTGAGTGACTGTTGGCATTCTTATGTCAAGGAGTTTTTTTATACTGAAGTTTAGAGTTACAGTCGTAGGCTGGATTACCTACAGATGTATGCGTTCTAGGACTGATATTGATCGATTAATCATTGTTGTGTATCAATGAACATTTGTGCTGATATATGCTATTGCATTCAAATGCTGGTTTTCTATATATATACATTATCTTGCTGATAGTGCAACAGTGTATGTAGACTTGATCAACTTGAGGAGGTAAATAGTATCAGGTGGTGAACCAGGAGATAGGATACCACTTGATAAGCTGATAATAGAGTTCTGATGGTGTTGGAGTGCAACCTGATTGTGATATTATAGAGTATAGGATTCATTATTATTATATGTGTGTATGTATCGTGTATGTGTTTTGTCCAGTAAATGTGTCACAAATTGCTGGTGTTTGCCCTTGTCCTCGTGAGGCTTCCCAGGAGGTAGTAAAGAAGGAGAGGGAGAGAGAAAGAACCAAGAACCACTGCCGTGGACAGGGTAGGAGGTAATACTAGTGAGTCATAGGGGATTGAGGAGATCATATCTCATAAGGAGAGAGTGGGGAGTCACAGCGGCTCGAGTGGGTGTGTGCACGTGACAACGAGGCTAAGTGTTGGAGCCGCATCCCCTAAACGTGTGACGTTGAGCCCCTCTCCAAGAGCCAGAAGCGCCAAGGGTGATCTCCTAGTATAAGCACTCTGCCGAGTTGTGGGTTGGGTTGTCCATAGAGAAGGATCAACGACGACAACACCAACCAACCCACAGTCTATAATATTGAATACAAGCAATTGGAAAGAATACGCTAAATTATTTATATCAGGAAAAATAATAGTTTTGAACTTGAGAAAATCGGTAGGAATCATGACAAGACTTCGAACCTGCACAGAATACTCCCAAGCAAATGCCCTAAACAACTCTCATTGATATGCAGACGATCAGTCACAATAACGTGGCTGATGATATGATAATCAATAATCAAACAGTAATCAACTCTCATTGATACATCAAGTTAATGTAATTTGTTTGAGCAGGAGTTTGATTTTTTTTTGGGGGGGGGGGGCAAAAAAAACATTGATTTATTTTTGCTCGAATACTAGAATGTTTAGCTTGTTGATATTATTTCCATCATCTCATACAATGAACAGTGTATAAGTTGCTACAATTTGTATAAACATTTTATATATTTTTGGTTTGATTAAATCAAATATTTTATAAAAGATGAAGAAAATAAATTTTTTGTATAATCATTAAACACATCTGATCCATTTAGTAATACCAAACAAATGATTTTACAATAATATGAGATAATAAATTAAAGGTATATAAATTAAAGTATACTCATAGAAATGGTTGAATGTATTTGAACAAAATGTTAAAAAATTTAGGATGAAGCCCCTGTTAAGAGGTGGAAGCAGGCACAACACAGACTAACTAACCAATACACATCCCACTACACACAGAAATCACAATAGCGTGATGTATCAAATGAACAAATCCCTTCAACAGGCCACGCAGCCAGCAACACTACCCGCGACATGATAAGGAAACACGAGACGCTCACCCAGACGAGGAAATCGAGAGCAAGAGATGTCTGGTGGTTAACAGTCTTCATTAGCAGCTCAAGACAAAACAAACCCCCTTTATCGCAGTTCAGGACCGTATTGGACTGTGACATTCATTCATTGGCCAACTGTGGCAACTATTGTATTTGATACGCCTCTGTCAACTTATATTGTAGTTATTTGTTGATATAAAACCTTGCTACAATGTACCTTTTCATCTTACATGATATGTTAGATTAAGGACCTGTCTGAAATGCTATGCGTGTTAGTGGCTTTGTATGAATGTAAAAATACCAATCTTTTGTAATCTCACCAACCCATTGTACCTTCTTGCAAATAAATTATTATTAATATTATTACTATTCATACGGTCTTCTCAGAGGCTAAGTTTGCCACTGCCAGCTGCATGTACACAGCAACAGTATCTATATTCACTATTACACAGGCATGGACAACAGTGCCAAATTCATTACCATTACCACAAGATCAATAGCATGTGAGAACCTTACTAGGCATAGATATTTTCCCAAGCCCCAATCAGAAACAATAATTAAATTATCAACGAAATGATTTTTTAAGCTTTTATTGCGAAAAAGAGACTTGCCTTTCATATTATGATGAGACATCCCTCAAAATTGATGTGCGATCATTTTTGGAATTTTGTATGTTTTTGTCCTTTTATTTAGTTCTTTATCCATATTTTGGTCACGATAGAAGACACAATGATAGATTAGGCACTAATTTACCATAAATCAAATTTATTCTGAAAGTTTATAAAGCACTACAGTGTGTACTACATAATATTTTATTTATAAAACTTAATTATTTTATATTTAAACAAGTTCTCAATTATGGGAATATTCAAACCAAAGAAATTTTGGAACTTTTAAGTCTATTTGAGTTCTCAAGCCATGTACTTGCTATGGGGCTACATCGCCTATTTTCAACAATAACTACTTAATTTTGCTTATACTATAACATTTTAAGTTTCAAATATAATGATTCTTTATATACTATACTATATTAAAATCAGATAATTACAAAACAAAATGAAAACCATAAAGTATCCCTTTTGAGGATATCTAAATATTAGCCAAGACATATTAAGCAAAATTCTTTCATGAATATGCCATCGGTCAATCAACAAATATATACATGTAATAGCATTATAATTATTTCAGAATGATGTAATGTATGCAAAAAATTTATAATTTTTTCTGGCTGCAAATTCGTGTTCCATTTTATTACTAACCTGTTTGCCAACTTTCGTAGAACCAGTGAAGGAGACTAGAGGAATTCTTTCATCTCTGGCGATGCCTTCACCAACGTCCGCCCCGCCACAACACAAGGTGGACACTGCTCCAGGGAGTTTGTTCTTCTCTAATACTGATGCAACGATCTTAGTTGTGGCCACTGACACCAATGGTGTGCTTGGTGCACCCTTCCAAAGCAATGTATCCCCACACACCTTTTGGAAAAAATAGTGCAAAATATATCTTTTACAAGTTTTATATCTTGATCAGTAATAATAGTGATGGCAATGATTGGGAAAGAAATGCCTTGTGTTGCTTAGAAGTTGTTTACTCAAGTGTTTCACTGGAACCACCAACTTTCTCAAAAATAACCCTGAAACTAGCTTCTAACATATCCAAATCACAGGTCAGGCACAATATTTACATTCTAGCTCAGTGACTACCAAAATTACCCCAAAACAATTATATGTTCTCATACCAATTATTACTCTCAAAAAAAAAAAAAAAAGCTAAAGAATTGGAACTTTAAAAATCTACTTATTCTATTAGTTGTCTTGATAGTGTACAAAATGAATGCTCAACATCTGTACTAAAAGTTTTATTTTATATATACTGTATGTACTGTATACACACATGCACACCAAAAGCTTGTCTTCTGACTGGCTAGTGTGTAATCTGTACAGTATTCCATGTTTTGGTTTAATTTCCTCTTACATTTTCTGGAATCCTTAATACATTTTACCCAATCAATTATAAAGAATGTAATGAATTCCTCCTTTTAAAACTTTTCTCACCGTTTTTACCATATTCCCAATGGTTAGGAGAGTAACTGATTATATTCATACCAGCAACAATCATCCACCAGAAAAAGTTATTAGAGACCACTGATAAACTGATTCCTGGTGTACTATGCAATTACTAGAACTATATACCATGAATATAGCCCTTCCCTCAGGATGATGGCCTGTGGTGCTGTGACCAGTGCAGTTTGCTCACAACCAGTTGGACACTAGCTCAATTTCCTGCCATCCACAACATATGGACAAGTTTCCGTACACATGATGATTTTGTTCACCATTCACCAATCAGAAAATAAGTACAGTACCCAAAAATTAGTCGACTTGTGGGTTATATCCTGAGGAAGGTAAGTCATGGCCTAGAGGGACCCCGATACCCAACATTAGGTATTACGAGTTCCATTCTCCTCATGAAGAATCTTGGTTAGAAGTTTCAGGCAATTTAAGGTAACTCAGGGTGACAAATGCTAAGACACAATGAGGTGAGGCCCCACTTTGATTTTTGAAGTTATAGTTCAAGGTAAGTTAGTGCTGCTGTTTGTTCAACATATAATTATTGTCATTCTTTCTTCTACTTCAGTTCAATTCATGCTTTTGATCTCAATTAGTTTCAAGTTTAAGTTTTTAAGTTTCCCCCACATCTTGCCTGAAACGCTGTGCGTGTTAGTGGCTTTAGGCATAGTATATAGTGTACTAGCTCCATCTAGAAATCCAACATTCTGCTTGTAACTCAATATGTATGCACTGTATGTAATTTTACCTAAATAAATTATTTATTTATTTTTTATTTATTTATTCGTAAGAAAATAACGAATAAGTACCTTGGTTAGGAAAAATTATTTGAAAAGCAAAATTATTTGTGCATGTCAGACTTGAATCATGTCCATAACATCATTATCAACAAAATATACAGTACTACCAAGCTGGACCATTAATATACAGTATATACAGCATACATATATATATATCCTCATTAAAGAATTTACATTTAATCAAAAAGTATAAACATCATTAATATGGTATAGTGCAGCAACACTCACCATGGCAACGGCACTATTCCATCCATACACAGCAACAGGGAAGTTGAAAGCAGTTATAACACCGACAATACCAAGAGGATTCCAGTTTTCCATGAGGACATGCCCAAGCCGCTCGGAGGGCAACACTGAGCCACCAACCATGCGAGATAAACCCACAGCAAAGTCACAGATGTCAACATACTCTTGAACCTCTCCAATACCCTCAGGCTTGATCTTTCCTGAAATCGTTTACAATTACAGTATCATAAAACCAAAATCTTGACAATTCCCACAAAATACTACTCTACCACTGGATCAATGCAGTAAAATGCCATGTACATTTATGTTTTCTCAAACAAGCAAAATACTGTATCACAACTGCACTGCCACAACACTTGTAGTGTAGTGTAGTGTAGTGTAGTGTAGTGTAGTGTAGTGTAGTGTAGTGTAGTGTAGGTGCAACAAGTGTAGGTGCAAATACCTTTACTATGAACCTATGTATTAGACATCAAAAGAGTACAAGGGTAATATTGCCCAAAGAATCCCACAATGCATTAATCATACATATACTGTATATCAAAGACTAAACCAACCACCACCTGCTATTAGCTCTCCTACGATACTACAGAGGATGGAAGATTGTTGGAAAACAAGAGAGGTGTCAAAACCTACTCTAAATGCCACATTTAATTACTGCCTTTATAAAATAAACTAATATATTACTTACAAGTACAGTAACTAGTACAGTAATCTGATCCTTGGAATACCTCACAAATAAAATAATTTGTATTATTATCGTGATATTTCTACATATCATTCATAAGATTGTAATAATTTATTCGAGATTTAGGGGTTCATTATTATGACTTCGTTCCTTTTTGATACATTTGTTTTGTATTATTCCAGATGTAGTGAATTGAACCTAATAAAGCTGAATTGCAGTATTCAAGAGTATAAATAATTCTTTTTCAGCTAAATTATTATTATTTGACTACCTTCCCAATGTTAATATCACAGGACTTTAATACTGCCATACAACCATAATATTCATTAGCATTCTCATAAAAACTAAGTATTAAGTGAACCATCACAAAATGTTAAAACATTAATTTCATCCTAATGATGTCTCTTTTACATGCATTCCATATTTTCTCATATACCATATCTGCCAATTGTGACGATGTCGACACTATCTGTCGAGTGCACCCGACCCCAGTTTCTGTTCCACAGTGGAAGGCTGTGATCTTATTTTACCTGTGTAATTTTCTTCTTACTAATCATATGTTACTCCTCAGAAGTGATGTGAGTGATATCTTGGTTGACAGGAATCAGTTCACCCTGGGCAGTTCTGAACTCAAGACGTGTTCAAGTGGGAACAAGTAGTCGAGTCAATGTAGACTGCAATTTGTCTGCCATACTTAGTGAAGTATTGGTGATTGTACCGACATATCCCAGGATGGTCAAATTGACTTAGGAGATGGAATCAATGTCTGTCTGTTAAGGCTTGTTATAACTGAAGCCTGTGTGGAAGTCTGCCAGCACTTGTTGCAGACCCCCCGCCAGCGTCTTGCTGCAGAACCCCTTCCCCAGCCAGTGTCTTGCTGCAGACCCCCCCCCCCCCCCCCACCAGCGTCTTGCTGCATACCCTTCCCCCCGCCAGCGTCTTGCTGCAGCATGGTACTCACCCATCTCCAAAGCCACCAATTTACCAAGTGGCTCCAATTTTTCACGAAGTGCCTCTCCAATCTGCCTCACTATTTCTCCTCGTGCTGGTGCAGGCATATCTGCCCAAACCTGAAAACAAAAATTGTTACGCATGATGAAACTCTCCTTTCAGAGCCACACTCTCTCTCGGATACTTCCTGCGCCAAAATCCAATTTGCATACCTGTACCAAGAACTATTATCACCTATTAATTTTAGCAGATAAGCAACACATGAGGAATCTTTTGCATATATGACCTGCACATTTCCCAAGGGAGGTGAGCCAATCTCCTTGTTCATAATTCCAAGCTTGGCCAACACATTTGAAGTGTAAAATACCTCCTTGCATCACTCATTTATAGGCACAGTAAATAAGTACACATCACTTAAATACAGTATGTTGCTCAAGATGTCAACTAATATGTACCTCTTGCAAGCAATAAATCCAAGAAAGTCCATGAGATGCTCACTGGGAATAAAATAGAACTCCTAGGGATGCCCCTTTATACCATATGAGTATGTGATTGGCAACAAGTACCTGTACAAGAGGATTAAGAACCATTGGTGTTGGTAGGGAAAATTTGTTGTTTAAAGAAGAATATCCTGGGGTTCAGGAAGGCCTCAAGTGATGAGGCTAATGTTATTTCTGCTAGGCGTGTTCTTCTTATTATCCTTTCACAAACTTCGTTTTGGTGTTTATGGTAGAAGAATAAATGGGGAAAACTCGAGATTTCCTCCAGGGAGCAACACTTTAGTGAAGTTGAAATAGTTTTTTTTTTTGTGGGGCTGGATGTTAGTTTCAATTACATTTAGGTCACTGTGCCTCCTGGGGATGCTACATCATCTGTGGGTAGCTGCAGGCTCTAGGATCAGCTGACAAGTGTACAGGAGCATCAGGCATCATGTCATCACGCCGACGAAACCCTCATCATTAAGTGCTGCGCCTTGTGCATCTTTACATGCAAAACATCAACTTCAACATATGTTCTCAACTCTAGCTTCTCTGCATCGTTATCAGTACTGTGTGCTGTTTCCCATTGTGGCAGAGCTATCAGTGATAATGTGGGAAAGCTGGAGAAACTGTATCAGGAACTCAACACTAACTCAGCCACATTGGTTCATGCTAAACCTATATTCAGCCAAAAGCAAGTAACTATGACAAATGGCTGGGAAAAATAAAGGCCTACATTTCCATTTCATAAACAAGATAGGCCTGAAAATTCCCAGCAGCTTAAGCTTTATGAAAAGAACTACAGAATTAAATAATTGCTTATGTTAGGTGCACAAAGTCAATAGAATTGAGAAATGCATCAAAAACAGATACATTAGGATACGCGTGGCGTATGTATGTGTGTGTCTGTGTGTCAAGAAAACACTTGCTGAACCTAACTTTACCGAGTCTAGAGATAATTAACATGTGACTAAATTAGACTAAAGTGCAGTAGCAGTAGGAAGAAATCCCTCCAGTCCATAGGAGGTTAAAAATATTTAAGAACATTCTGAACTTTTTATGGGGTCTAAACAAGGATACACTACAATACTTCTAAACACGTTAAGCCAATACGAGACTTTTATCATCTTTATGGACATTGAAAGACAAGTTAACATTTGTTTGAAGTTAAGAATTTTCAAAGGACTTTAGAGAAAATTACTTTGATCTATACCAGAACATCAGCAAGCCACTACAGGCTCTGCATTTCGAAAAACTTCAACAAAAGAGGAGTCCATTGCCAAAAGTATCTTGTAATAATCCTAAATTACCTACATAATTCTGGTGTACAATAAAAAGGACTCGAGCAGAAGAATGATACTGTACTTTAATAGTAAGTTTATTTGGGGGTCAAGGATTAATTTATGCATTCACAATCATACATGGGCAAACCAGGCCTTCTGTAGACCCCCTTAGTTCTTATGTTCTTGTTCAAAGGGCTTATACCAAAGAGGTATAAATGTTTTGTTGAATGGTATTCAGCCTCACATAATAAGCAAGTCCTCTTGGGATACGGTACCAACATTCTGAGGTAGCAAATAAGTGTGCAAGACCTCTAGGTTCTAAATCCACTAGAGAACAATCAACCAAGAACTAACAAGTTATGTGGCAGAAGTTTAAATAATGTCTGCCATACTGATGACAGTGTAGCAAGAATATATGTATATGTCAGTAATATACTTTCTCCATATTCTCATTAGCTTATGTGCAGATACTTCTGCAGATATAACAATGCTTGTGTCACAAGAACCATACAGGGGCAACTTCACTGATGTTAAACTCATCAAAAGAAGAAAATACAGTACTGTATTAGTAAACAGTGTATAGAAACCAAACCCATTACACAAGCACTAACATTTTTCAACAGAATCGTGTAAAACTCAAGTCTACTCTGATCTTAGCATTTCTCTACATTGTTGATGGCACCTTTGTCAGTAGAGCACCTGTACTCTCTTCAAATATATCTAAATCTAACTGTGGTTCTCTTTATGCAAATATTTATATTACCACAATAGCCTAACATCGTGACTACAGATGTACCATTGTAATAAATATTTTATTCATTCATGATCAAAATTAACATTTCTTGGCACAAAATCTTACCCACATCAACATTAGATCTCTAAATATGAAAACTTACTTGCCATGCTTCCTGTCCTGCTTTAATGCAAGCATCTAGGTCCTCTACAGTGCCTTGCTGAACTTGTGCAATGGGAAGTTTATTCGCTGGGCACACTGACGTCACGACCTAAACAGAAAAATATTCATTACAGTACAGTATTATGAAATAATCAAGCATCATATACTTTCACTAAAAAATCAATGTACAGTAACTTTGTTACCACAGTAAATTTCACTCTTTTACATTAGCACTTTGACGTACCAAGCGCCACCCCTCAACTGTGCGATATGGGACCCAGGGTGTCACGGGAGCGCGCGTAAATTCTGAAAAGTGAATACTCTCTTCAACTTTGTCACCTTAATTCTCGTCCTACGAGATTAAATTTGGTATCATTGTGTTCGCAATAGAATTCTCTACAGCACTAAATGCATGTAAACTCCAAAAGCCCGGTTAATTACCCGCAGCAAACAGAGAAAGTGCGAACGAGTTACCCAGGAGCGCGCAAACGCGATAAAATGTTTTCACTATTTTCACTCTGGTCACCTCAATTTTCGTCCTAGGTCTTTCATTTCGGTCTCAATGGGTTCGCAATAGAATTCTCTAGAGGAACATTAGCATATAAATAAAAAACCTGGTCACACTCCAACCGCCGACGAGTTGAAGACGGGCCACGCGTTAGCCACGAGTGAGCGCTCAGACGCCTTCCAGCTACACTTCCAATTCCCGCCCTTTTCAAGCCTTTCTTTCGCAATTTTCTTCCTGGAAGGGCCTTGTTCATGATCACTCTCCATCGTGGAGTAAGCGTAGATAGTTTCTAAAGCCGCAGTAAGAAATATAGCCATGGAAAATAGCCGAAATGTTCACACGTTTGAGATGCGAGGGGAGGCGACATTGGTCACAACAGTGGAGCGAAAACAATGGGCCCACGGCGTGTGCCAAGCCGCCTGAGGGCCACGAGGCTCAACAAAGAAAATGGGGAGACATCGGCGCACATTTTAAAACCAGTCCCAAAAAATCGGAAAAAAACCTGATTTTTGGCGATTATTTAAAGTGGATGACGCAATGCTGCGTCATCCTCGGCATTACCGACAGTAAACGGATGACGCAATGCTGCGTCATGCCCGGGCGAAAGTGTTAAATGTAAATTTATGTTCACATTAAAACTCACTGAATCTTGTGCTACCCACTTCCCCAATTTCAGTACTTAAGACATGCAACATCACCAGTATAATCAATTCAATCTATTCTTATTGTAGGTATTATGTTGAAATCAAATTCTGCTACAAGGTACCTTCTAAAAACCAGGAAATCAGATCAGCCAAAAGAAACTATGAAAGAAAACTTGCCCAAAACATAAAGAAAGATGCAAAATCATTCTATGCCTATACGTACAAGTTTTATCCGAGAGCCACTAACATCAGTGGCCTCGATGGGGACAGGAAGCCGGCGGCTTGGTGGCTAAGTAGTAAAACCAAAACAAAGGACAAGTAGGACCCTTAAAAGATGCGACTAACCAAATTATAATAGATGAAAGGGCAGCAAACACTAAATGAATATTTTACATAAGTGTTCACACAAGAAAGATTAGATGACATCCCATCACCCACACAAATGTTTGAAGGAGGTGAAGAGAATGAATTTAGGGATATACCCATAACATGTGACAATCAGGAAGAGCATTGACAAACTAAAAAAAAAGACTCAAAAGCCCTAAAAAAAAGACTCAAAAGCCCCAGGTGTGGATGGAATCCAATCCAAAGTCAAAAGGAACTGGCAGAAGAACTATGCCTACCACTGAAATTACTTTTCGCAAAATCTCTGGACTAAGGGATAGTTCCTGTAGATTGGAAATTTGCAATGTCACACCTATTTTGAAAAAAGGCTGAAAGCTCAGTGGAGAACTACTCTCCGATCAGCTTGACATCAAACACCTGAAAGCTCACGGAGAGAATCCTCAGAGAGGGAATCATTCACCATCTTTCAGTGAACAATCTTGTAAAATTGACAACATGGGTTTGTTAAAAACAGATCCTGCCTTACAAACCTGCTCACTTTTTTGGAATTGGTAACCAGCTACTCAAAGGACTTCCAGTTGATGTTTTATACATGGATTTTGCTAAAGCCTTTGATGAGGTTCCACATGAAAGACTGGCAACGAAATTACAGGCACATGGAATAAATGGTAAAATGCTAGAATTGCTAAAACAATGGTTAAAACAAAGAAAACAAGAGTTGTGCTAAGTGGAAATGAATGTGACTAGAGAAATGTGTTAATGGGGTACCACAAGGGGTCCATTTTGAGGCAAACCCTTTTTGTCATATACATCTAGTATCAAACAACCTTATCATTGTGTTCATTGCTGTCTTCTTTTATGTGCTAGCCATATGCTGTATTGTGACTACCAATTTTTGTCAACTACCATTCAAGCTGTCATTGCAATCAATCTTAGCTACCTATGTGCTTTAATATACTGTACCTACAATTTTCTCTTATCTTCTTTTTTTCATTCCATGTAACTATTATCATTTTTTGTCTATAAATTTTGCAAGTATTTACCTCCTTAAAATTTTCTTAGATTAAGGACCTGCCCGAAACGCTGCGCGTTCTAGTGGCTTTACAAGACTGTAATTACCATATTATGTATCCTCACATTCCCAATGTACATTCTTGTATATGCATAAATAAATAAATTAAATAAATAAACATCAATGACAGATGAGAATATTACAAACCACATCATCAAATTTCCAGACGACACAAAGATTTATGGTAAAGTTGGAAATGATAATGATATTGAAGCATTACAAAAGGCATCAATGAACTCTACAAATGGTCAGACAGTCTGGCAAATGCTCTTTAATATTGACAAATACAAGACCATGCATGTGGGGCATAGCAGCCCATGCCACAACTACCAAATTAATAACATTACATTACAGCAGATTGCTGAAGAAAAAACCTTGGGTTCAAAATCCACCACTCACTGAATGTTGCACAACAGGCAGGAACAGCAATCAGGAAGCTAACCAAACCCTTGGAATAATCAAGTGTACCTTTGACTTTGAGGAAATGAAGGTAGGGATTCAATTGTATAAATCACTGGTGCACCCCCATCCAAGCATGGATGGGGGTGCACCACATCTTCAGGACATAGCTGCTCTGGAGACAGCACAACACTGGGCAACAAAAATAATCCCAGAGCTAGGTCAACTCACGTATCAGCAACGGTTGAGGGCCACATGGCCAACAATACTGCAAACCAGGCATGATAGGGTGAACCACATTGAAACTTAAAATACTGAACAGTTTTGAAGATGTTTATCTGGAGAATTTCTTCATAAAAAGAGATGTAACACAAACAAGGAGGAACGTTTCAAGCTCAACCAGCCACAATGTAGGCCCGAGAACAGGAGACGCTTTTTCACCCATAGGGTTATAAACCCATGGAACCGCCAACCCGTTGAAGCCGTAAATGTCAAAACCCTGTTACATTTTAAAGTCTAGCTGGAAAAGATCATCAAGGCAAATGGTGGGGAACCTTCGACAACCTTCGACTTCCTGTCCTCGCCAAAGCCACTAGTGTTAGTGTGCTTCAGGTAATTTGTGTTTTGCTTGTTTTTATATATATAAGAGTTCTTACATTCTTGTAAAGTCGCTAGCATGCATAGCATTTCAGGCAAGTCCTTAATCCTATGTTCCCCAGAATACTACTTGCCAAATCGTTTTTAATTAACAACCAGGTACCCATTTTACTGTTGGGTAAACAGAGGCTACAGCTAAGAATTGACACCCAGTAAATCCTCCCCGGCCAGGTTACGAATCCAAGACAGAGCGCTCACGAAACGCAAGTAAAGTGTCTTACCACTTCACCACGGGGACTGTAATCCGGGGGAAATTACCGTGGGAAATCAGGTAATTACTCTTACTTTTATCTGTTAGGTTAAGGACCTACCCAAAACACTATTGGTATTTGTGGCTAAAACTTAAGCATGAATCCATCTGTTCTATTTCTAAATAGTCTTATCATTCCTCTTACATTTTGAATACTATATCTTAACTACTTTTGCAATATACTGTATATGAATTATATTAAAATTTTAATTATACTGTACTCCTTTATTCTATCATGTATTACCTGAATAAAAAAATTATAATTTTTTCCACTAGTATCAAGGGTGACAAAAGTTTACAAGAATTGCTTCTGTAAACTTTGCTAAAGACTGTACATGTGGTCGTTCTTGAACCCACTGTTGATATAACAATATACATTAGACTGTTTTAACTGGCTTATGAAGAGTAACTTGCTTAACTAAATGAATTTTGAGGCTCGGTCCCCGAACCCATTATGTGAAGCTAACATTTCCCAGTAATGCCCCATAGGTTGGGTATGGGGGTGCACATTAAATGAACTAAACTAAAAACTAAAATCTTTGCATATTCTTAATACACACACACACTCTCTTCAGCCTGTTACCATGGAAACCCAGCTCTTAATTACAGCAATTTAAGATGAGGAACTTTAAAAATCTTAATCCAAATAGATAGCCGAAGATAGCCACACATTATACACTAATTCTAACACTTCCCACTGACAATATAACTACATATATACTGTATACGACTGGTAAAATCGTCATAAAGTGGTATACAAGGCAATTCAATTTCAATTTCTTTCTTTATTATGCACCCCATACCCATCCCATGGGCGGTGGTATAAAGGATTACAGAGGCACATAATCAGTTCAGGAACTGAACCCTCTAGTTCGTTTAGCTAAGCAAATAAAAAATTGTGACGCTTGTTACATGGCACTTTAAGTAATGGAGGGAGGGCAGAGTGCCCCGCCCCGGGTGCCAGCCAATCAGCGCCCAGCAACCAGCATGCCCCAACGCTGCCATATGCCAACACCACTACACTAAACTGTAGTACAAATTAATGCGCATTTCCTCATGACACCATCCATTGGTGGCACGTAGTAGGTGCGTGTGGTGGTGCTTGAGGCCATGGGGTGAGGGGAGAGAGACAAGCTGACAGCTGTAGTGACCCATTATTCAACACCCGGCTTCTTGAGTGGCTATTTATACCACCTCCTTTATTCTTAACACTGGTCGTATCCCACACTATTACACCTCACAACTACTTCTATACACACACACATTATCATGTATTAAACTGGTAGAAGTGACATTTTATATTTAAACTAATAAAAGCCAGGCATTTGAACAACTACATTACAAGCTAATTACAAGCTAATTTATTCATGTAAATCTCGGGATTATGTGATACGTTATTCCCCTGTATAAATATACCTATAACCTCTAAATAATAGTATAATCTTATACAAATTGTCAATTACGAAACCTTCAGCTGACGGCTAATAATTGATATCTTAAAGAGAATATCTGATCAACTGAATTCTATTTCAAAGTTCTCACCTCTCCATTGGCAAACCACTTGCCGTTGAAGACGCCCTTGTTGCTCTCCGCCAAGCCCAGCTCCTTGAGGAAGGCGTACTTGGGTTGGTTGATGAGGAAGGTGGAGGAGGACATGGCCCTGAGGAGCAGCAGGGCTGAGCGTGGGCACGGTGCTAGCAGGCGGGCTGGCAGACCCATGACTGGGGACTCATCATGTCGTCTGCCCTACTCATCTCTCCCCCACCAACAGCCCTCCTCCCCCCCACTAACAACCCCAACAACCTCTCCCCCATACCAATCATTCCCCCAATCTTCCACCACACCCACCCTCCTTGCTCTCGCATCTAAGATTCTAGTCTTGAGAAAATCTCCAGCGCTGCCGGACACCCTCCCCAGCCATGAGTCTTCCCTTTATCCACTCTGAATTTTCTTCCTCATATTTTGTATTAATTAACAACCTTGTGCTGAGGTCGACGGCCGACGGGAGCCGGTCGGCCGAGCGGACAGCACGCTGGGCTTGTGATCCTGTGGTCCCGGGTTCGATCCCGGGCGCCGGCGAGAAACAATGGGCAGAGTTTCTTTGAAATTGAAATTGAATTGAAATAAGTTTATTGAGGTAAAATACACACAAAGGGATGAGGTAGCTCAAGCTATTCTCACCCCGTTCAGTACGTGTTAGTACATACATAGACACATCACAAACAATAAACATGTTACCAAACATTCATTTCCTCCTTCACAAGTATGGTATCAGACGTACACACAAATACTTTTATACTTTTATGACCTAGGTAGAGTTTCTTTCACCCTATGCCCCTGTTATTTACAGGGGCATTTTCATCCTATTATTTACGTAGCAGTAAATAGGTACCTGAGTGTTAGTCAGCTGTCACGGGCTGCTTCCTGGGGGTGGAGGCGTGGTCGAGGACCGGGCCGCGGGGACACTAAAGCCCCGAAATCATCTCAAGATAACCTCAACATAGGTTACGGGCCCTCACGGCTGAGTGGACAGCGCTCGGGGATTATAGTCCTATGGACCCGGGTTCTATTCCCGGCGGACGTGGAAATAAATGGGCAGAGGTTTTCACCCTGATGCACCTGTTCACCTAGCAGTAAATAGGTACCTGGGAGTTAGACAGCTGCTTCCTGGGGATGTGTGTGTTAAAAGAGAAATATATGTACAGTAGTAGACATAATAGAGGAAAAACTGATTGGTTAGATTGGCGGGGTTCAAGAGCTAAATAGTTCAATTCTGCAGACACAAATAGTAAATACAGCATTGTGCTGCTACCCTGTTCTATATATAGCTCAGTCAGCTTACACAGTGTAGATCAAAAACTAGCTATAAGTTCATATAATATCCCCATCTTACAGGATGGTTATAGTATACGTGGAGGAGAGAACATGAAATGTTCCACTAGCAAAATCTGGGTACAGCACAAGAATATCTTCCAATATTTATTTATTTATATACAAGAAGGTACATTGGGATTATGAGAGTACATAGCATTAATGTTTTTACATTCATGTAAAGCCGCAAATATAATTTTTTGAGATAAGCCAAATTGATTCATTGGTCAGAGAGAGCTCCCTTTCCCAGATTATTTACACTGATGTATCCTAGCATCAGTCCTATGGTGCAGCTGGGAGCACTTGTTGTGAGAGAGAAATGGTTAATCCTTCTCCCATGAGTGTGGAGCGCGTCCAAGTAACTGGGCCTCCACTCTCCAAATAGAAGTTGTTGCCATAATCCTTGCACTCGAGCCCAAAGTTGACACGCTAATTGAAAGTGACTCCTTGTCATCCTTGACTGCCCTCAGCTCCTCAAGGCATAACTATGACGTGCTTATCTCTGAAGCTAGACACAGACATACAGATTATACACATAGACACATAGATATAATGAAATAATCAGTGATGGAGTCAGAGTTTATCTCATGTGGATTCCTTCCCATATTGGTCTCTGAATGTATGATAGAACTGATGAGTTGGTCAAGATCTTTGTTCATAAAGGGGGAATTGATTACCAACTTGGACTGCCTTTGAGCAGCCTGAGGGCAGTAATATTCCGGGAACATCAACAAAATCTCGTAGACTTGAGGCAAAGTGAAATTCACACCAGTTGCTCCATCTATCATCATTCTATTATGCAGAACCGCACGTCTATGGGTCATCCAATAAGGTTAGCAGACTTCTAGATGTTACCACTGCTAGGCTTAGGCTTGGCTACAAGTACCTCTAGGAGTTTGTAACATCTGCTGATGTAGATCTGACTAAATGTAAACTCTGTCAGCAGAACTATTCGCATATTTTGTGTCATTATATAATGGAATGTGAAAAAATCGCGGAATTCAGAGATAACACCATCAATGGAGCTCACGAAATGTGTAAGTACTTCATTCATAATGATGTACTGCCGGGAATCTTAGCGAAGTATTCAAAATTTGCTTACTGTAGGTACAGCCTGCACATGACTGTAAAGCTGCCGCCCAGTTGGGTGGGTGTGGAGCAAGACTAATAATTGTGTGACTCACCATAGATGTAACGTGCCTTTTTTTGAGCCAATTGTTGAATCACTTGATACAAAAGATTATCGATGTGTATATGTATTTGTGTAAATGATTGTATATACACATGTATATATATATAACATTAATAATTGTGTAACTAGCGTCAAAAGATTGTTATTTGCTTAGCTAAACGAACTAGAGGGAATTCAGTTCCTGAACCAATTATGTGCCTGTGTAACCCTTTCCACCACCGCCCACGGAATGGGTATGGGGTGCATAATAAAGAAATTGAATTGACTTGCATGTTTTATGCTGCCCGTACATATTATTCTCGGTTCTAAACATATCATAGCTTTTTATACTCGTGCTTTCTGGCCTTTGAGTGCCAGTAACCTCTCTTCTCTCATCCCTAATACCCTCTCTGTGTCATCATGCTACACAACACTTAAATGAGATGGTATCCATACAAATGAGACTGAAACTCTTGCTCTGTGTATTAATAACGTTGTTTATAATAAATGTTACAACAGCATCATATTTGCAGAGTAATACCTAAGCAGCATATTAATGCAAAAAAAAAATAATAAAACAGAAGTCGGTGAACATAACCTATGGGTTTACTTTCCGAAATCTCTACACAAATCGCAATTTATTATACACATTCAACATTCTTCTGAATTATTAGAATTAGTAGGTAGAGAAAGATTGATAAAAACAGTTTGTTTATGGCGTTGATGATGTGGACATTATAGTGTCAACAGCAGCACGAGGCAAGGGGACCGTCCACCAGCTGTGTGATCTCTGATACTCTTAAATTTTCGTGCTGATTTCTATTGGTGAGTGTGTTAGTGGGCCTTGGCACGCTGTTAGTGTCCTGGACAGCTGTAAGAGAGTAGTTTGGGAGTCGTTTTGAAGACGACAGTTGAAGGGATCACTTTAATAAGGTGTGTTATGTCTTGGGAGTAGACCATCCACCTCCTAAGGGAGCGCAAGCCTAGATGGTGATAATTATGATAGACGGAGTTTCTGTCAAACCGTCCATAAGACGGTTGAATAAAATAGGGTTTGAGACTGTCAAAACTGTATATATTGTGGGTAGGTTTGCTTTAGCTTGTAGGATAGCCTCGATTGGGTTAGGTTAGGCAAGTTTTAAAGTTGTTGGCGAACCATCTTGGGCACGAGGTGACAAGTATCCTAATAAATTAGTTTATTTTCTACCCCCAAACATTACCATACAGTTACAGTGTTAATCAATACATATCGCTGCTGTCAATTGATAGCTATGTAGTTCAAATTAGCTACTGTATAAAAATATATTTTTTGTTATGAATATAAAAGCTCTTGGATTAATTGTAAAAATGTGAATATATATTGTAAACGTACAGTATAAACAAGTAGTGTTATTGTTTTGTTTTGTAAATAGAAAATACCGGTGATTTTTAATACATTAGAATATAGACTAAATATAAATTGCACCAAAAATCCATTATATGATTCAAAATAGTGTTCACACACTCAACCGCGCTCGGCATGTGGTGGCGGTAGTATCGGCTTCTTAACATAACTTTGTGAATGTAGCAGACTAATACTTTTGACAATGAAATTTTTTTTTAAGTCTGCTGCTTCTATCATATAATTTTTTCTAACTTCCTAAGAACTAGAATATGTTGGTCATCGTATTTTACAAAGTGATAAATGTCTTAAGGAAAAAACGCTGCAACCGAGTATTAACCGTTGTGTACTACATGAGAGGATGGGCATCCCTTTCACCAAATTCAACTCTTGGACACAAATGTACAGGGCTGGCTGTTAAACCTACCAGCCCCAACCCACTTACCAAACACCAACACTACAAACTCCATTGCCACCACAACCACCATTAGTATAACAATGACTGTTATCACCACAACCACCAGTATCACCACTAGTAACCAGCACCATTATCATTACCTCCACCACCATTAGTAACCAGTCCCCACTACTTGAAAGCGCTATTACTAACACAATCCTTATTACCATAACCATTATTACTGCTACCATCACTTATCAGCACCACCCCCTTCCCCCCTCCCCTTCCATTACAATAGCCTTTACTCTGTACACCAGCCTATAATCCCTACAACTTGAGGTAGTTCACTCATTATTTGAGCTGTAGGCCTACTGTTTAATACTCATTACAATACTGGACCCTATAATCATTGTATCCCTGGCATATCATTGTCCTTGAGCTGTGCCATTTCTGGGATATCTTAAAAATCAGCTGTAATAACATGCCTACAGTAGATTATTATTATTTTGTTGTATATATTTTGTGTAATCATTTATTATTATTATTTTTACAGATTTTTACCCCACAACTCATTCAAGATGTCACATTACAACTTTAAAAAGATCACCACGGTCCCCTCGGCCAAGGTGAGTAGTACATACAGTATTTCGTTTTCCTGAGCCTTGTTTAAGGATAAGTTTATTTTTTCTTCTTTAAAGAGGGTTTCATTCAGTATCTTGAATGCCTCATTATACTTCAGTAACATGAAACTTAACTGTAGAGATTTGAGACTTGCACTGAATAAAAAAAAAATACTGTTATTTATCTTTAGACTAACCTTAGAGTTAATTCTGTAAGATATGATTCATAAAACTGCACAACATTTAACCTGTTATTGCACATTAGACATACTGTAATAGATTACAGTCTCCGTGTTGTAGTGGTAAGACACTCGCCTGACGTTCCGCGGGCGCTATGTCATGGGTTCGTATCCTGGCCGGGGAGGATTTACTGGGCGCAATTCCTAAACTGTAGCCTCTGTTTAACGCAACAGTAAAATGTGTACTTGGATGAAAAAACGATTCTTCGTGGCAGGGGATCGTATTCCAGGGACCTGCCTGAAACGCTACGCGTACTAGTGGCTGTACAAGAATGTAACAACTCTTGTATATATCTCAAAAAAAAAAAAAAAAAGTTATAATAAGCTGAACCAATATAATTGCTCAGTACATTCCAGTTTTAATGATGCTGCTCAAACATGGATATACTGTACTATACATAATCAGTTGTAATCGATAATCACAGTAATCAGTTGTGTACTGATGCGCTGAAACCAGCAATGCTTATAAAAAAAACTTTATACTGAATTGGTTAAGTTAATATTTATAATTTCTGTATTGATACCTAAATAAAGTAAGGCTTTTAATATTTTGTAGTTATAAATATGATCACCTGTACTATTTATTATTGTTCCTCTCCACCACCCATTAGTCTTCAGTATGCACTACCTAAAATTAATTTATTCATTCATTGTATAACCTCAATTTTCTGTTTCAGGACTTCATAAATATCATACTCTCGAAGACACAACGAAAGACTCCTACCGTTGTCCACAAGCAGTTTAAGATCTCTCGCATACGTCGTTTCTACATGACAAAGGTCAAATATACTCAGCAAAATTTCCATGACAAGCTGACTGCAATTGTTACAGAGTTCCCAAAATTAGAGGTACAGTATATTTGCCCAGTCTATTATTTGTTTTATTCGTGTCTGGTATTTTCCCCCTTTATATTGACAATGATCATCTTTCCAGCACAGGCTGTGTTCAAAAGGGATACTGCAGTGGCTTTGCCTTAATTTTTTGTCTCATTTAAGTATTTTACATGGCTTTTTCTAAATATCAAAATTATCCATTGCTGTTTATGGTAAGTACCTTAATTAATTGTTATTAAGTCATGTATAATGCAATGCAGTATTATTTAGATTTAAAAAGCATTTGTGAAATTTTGAGATACATGTCGGCCTAACAAAATAAAATCACTAATCAGTAAGGTAAAACTAATTTAACAATTTCAGATAATTAAAAATTAAGTTTGTGGTTCTTTTATGTTATAATAAAAAGTTATACTTTTTGTGAATTATTATTTTATGTTTTAATGTTTAATTTCAAATTTTCAGGACTTGCATCCTTTTTATGCTGACCTGCTGAACACACTGTATAATAAGGACCATTACAAGCTTTCCCTCGGCCAGATAAACATGGCCAGACATCTCATAGACAAAGTTGCAAGTGACTATGTTAAGCTCCTCAAGTATGGTGACTCCCTCTACAGATGTAAGCAGTTAAAGAAAAGTGCCTTAGGGCGGATGGCCACAATAATGAAGAAGCAGGGACCCCCTCTGAAGTATCTTGAGGATGTAAGACAACATATTTCAAGGCTGCCATCAATTGATCCTAATACCCGATCACTTCTGCTGTGTGGCTGTCCAAATGCTGGTAAGAATACATTTCCAGGGGAGATATTGGTATTGAATTTATATAAATTAAATATGGCACAATGTCACCCAGGTTTACCATATCTCCATTAAATGGTTTCTTGAGTTACTCAGAAATTGGGAAATCTGGTTCTCCAAGTCAGTTTGCAAATAACAGTAAGTTTGTTTATTCTCTGCTTTCCAATTAAACCAATTATCTTCATGGCAGTGGACACGTATTTAAAAGAGAAAATAACCATACCAAACCCAACCAAATTAGCCAATTAAAGCTATCTCATCATAATTGAAGTAAAAGATGGAAAAAATGCAATGTTGATTGATGGGAGTTTTCATAAATGACTTGCAAAAGTTGTATGATTGATGAGAGCAGTAGTGTGCATCATGCCATTCCTCAAAACTGCTGTCATCGGTTGTGTCTTACCTTTTGTGAGCTCCGAGGATTATTGTCTCCGTGGTCCACTGACCAGACCTTCCATTACATTTATACACATAATTAACCCATCCACACTTTTCTTCTAAATAAAGCAAGAAAATTATATACTAGACAGGGGCTTTAAATATTAGATGTAATTAACATAAAAATGTGCACATTCAGGTAGCAAGCCGCCTGTGCTTTGTGTCACAGTGAATGATTGGTCAGAAGATGACTGAAATATTACCATAAGAACATAAATTTTTTAATCTGCTCCAGCCCTAAATAAATCTGTCCAAGTTAGCTCGCCTTAAATAAAGTGGAAAATAGTTGACAATAATGTTCCTCGACTTTTCTAATGAATTATTGACATGGGAAAAGTTTTATGTATGCAATGTGTCGATGTAAGGGTGCAGACTAAAGCTTGTTTCTTAGCCCAGCCCACCTCAGAAAATGGCTGAAAAGTTTTCTTCCGTCAGTTTTGATCCCATTGTAAATGACATGATAAATTTAATGATTCTTAATTCTAGAACCATAAATAACAGCAATAAAGTAGTGGGTGGTGGCACTGCTGCATCCTCTTCACACAACTGCTGTCTTACCTTGCCTTGCGATGATTTCGGGGCTTAACGTCCCCGAGGCCGTGCTGTATTATTTCCACTTAATTAGCCCATCCACACCTTTCTAAAGAAAGCCATTAAATAGTTTTGTCATGCCAAGAGGTTCAAGTGATAGATTTGCATCATAAAAATGAGCTATACTATATAATTTGGTAATTTAACAAATGCAAAAACAATCTAATCCTCATTAATTGCTTTAGAAAATGGGGACAGCTTCAAGTTTAGCAGTGTTAGTGATGAGGGATACTTAAGGTTCCTCACTGCTAGTTTTATCTTGCCCCCTCTTCAATTGCCTGGATTTTTCAATTTATTGAACATCTGGATGTACTGATTGATCCAGTTAATCAGGGTTGCACAATACAGTACTACAGGTGGCTTGTGGATTATAATTATTGAAGAGTGTTGCAGTTACACACTTTTTGTATACAGTAGTCATGTGTTGTATCAGTAATTTGTAACAATCAGTAATTGTTATCGCAACTCTATTTGACGTGACAACCATTAATTAATAATTTTGTTTTTTAAACATTAATATATTTATAGTTTAATATTATTGGATTGCTATCACTTTTACTTAACAGGGAAATCATCATTTATCAATTTGATAACTCGTGCTGATGTGGAGGTCCAGCCATACGCCTTTACCACCAAGTCTCTCTATGTTGGTCACACGGATTATGAATACCTTAGGTGGCAGGTTAGTGGTGTATGATCTCTGTATGTTTAGCTCATGCTAAAATGTTAAGGATTCACAGATTTTTTGTACTCCCAAAGCAATATTTACAGAACAGGTATATGTATGTTAAGCTGATATTTGTGTATATTTAATATGGAATTATAATTTTAGTACTGTACAGTATTTTGTTGCTAATGTCTCCTGTTCCAATTACAGGTTATTGATACACCTGGAGTGTTGGATCGTCCGTTTGACGAGATGAATACCATAGAATTGCAGGCCATTACAGCTCTGGCACACATCCGTGCAGCTGTCATTTTCTTCTTGGATATCTCTGAAACGTGTGATGTTCAGATAGAGCAGCAAATGAAAATCTTTGAGAGTATAAAGCCACTCTTTACAAATAAGGTAACCTTTCAACAATTTGTAAATGTTGGCAGGTGTAATATTTATGGTATAAAGATCAGCCTACAATTTTTTTTTTTAATATGTAATTCTCTTACTCTTATAGTATATATATGTATAAAACACAAGCTTGCAATTACAATGATAGAGGGAAAACAAGTTAGCTTAACTGATAGTGAGTTTCAAAATGTGCTTTAATAACTGAGTTTTATGATACTTATTTGCAGAAAGTCACAAATATAAACTATAATTTGGTGCCAACTGAAACATTTTTACAAGCATTATATTATTAGGTGATGGTAGATGAGAGTAGATTTTAATAACTTTTTCTATACTGTGGGAGTAACTGAATTTAAATGTTTCTCAGTGGTATTCAAATTTGTGTATTTTCCATTTTAACAATGATGCTTTGTCCATGTTTCAGCCTTTATTGGTGGCATGCAACAAAGTAGATGTGATGGACTTGAAGGAATTGGGGGAACAGTACCCCGAAAAGCGAGAACTGATTTCTGCACTGGAACGTGAAGGTATTCCTGTCCTGGAAATGTCAACCCTAACACAGCAAGGTGTTATGGAAGTCAAGAAGGAGGTAGGTATGATTTTTTATATTTAGGTTAATAATTTGTTTGAGGATTTAGTCATGTTGATGCATTTGGATAACTTTGAGCAGACCGGATGTCACTTTATCTGCAGCAAGTAATTTTGTTTGTAATTCTCTACTTGCTGTACTCCAAGAGTATTGTAACTTTTCCTGTTATTTTTGTTAATCTTTGTTTCCATGTAGTGGAATTTTTGTTTTCAAGTAGTGACAGATTTTGCCTTTATTTATATGGGCAGTGAAGCCTTTTTTGGTTCTTTATATCTGATAGCTTTAGTTAATCTTTGTGTTATACTGCAACTATGAATTATGAAAACTACACTAAAGTTGACAGATGTTTCATAATAATAAACGTGATGGATAACTTTGGATTAAATTTTAAGCCTAGAAGATTGCCTGTTAGGCAAATTTTACATTATTTGTTATGTATTTTTACATGATTTCCAATAAAGTATTTATCAGTAATCACCCAGAAAACAATAATGTGTTTTTGAGAAATGTTAATAATGTTGAATATTTGTGTTTTAGGCCTGTGATCGTCTATTGGCAAAAAGAGTGGATGCAAAGATGCGTTCCAAAAAATCTGATTCTATACTTAATCGTGTTCATGTGGCAATGCCTGCACAGAGGGATCAGAAAGAGAGGAAACCCTTCATTCCAGGCAAGTGAAATTTGTTGTCAAAATTTATACTGTACTATACACAGTTATAGGTACGTATACAGTATTTATAATACAGCACTCATTACAAATATATACAGTCATTTGCTGTGAAAGGAAAATGTCGGTAAATGTATTGTCAGTGGAATAAAAAAAATAACAGCCCGTAAATAAATTAATAAAATAAATAAATAAATAAAAATTCCAAACCAATTCTGGATTTTTTTTTTGTAATGAGAATTTTTTTTATTCAAATTTGAGCAGTGATACACTGAGAAGCCGGCCTCCATGGCTTCATCTACGACTTGAATATTTTGACACAACTCTTGCAGACAGATTTGATTTTTTTGTATTTATAATAAGTTGCAAATATAGTAGAAATATAGCACATTATGTTGTAACAAGAAATACAGGACATTTCAAAACCTTGTGTAGTTATATATGTCTTTGGTGGTGGTGCACATACAGCGGGGATATTGATTCAGATTTTTACCGTGAGGTGGCGGTGGTAACAATTTAAGTAGATGTAATTAGTGAAGTGTTGTGAAAGAGCCTTTGTAAAGAATTTTCTAGAGCTTTGCAATTTGTAGTTGTCCACAACTTTATTTTATCCATTATAGTACAGTGTATTGCATAAAACTTGCAGCTTGAATTTGTGGAACTATGGTAATAGGGGAGGATATTACCATATCTTCACAATAAGCTGCAATTTTACACAAAATAATGGCAAAAGTAAGGCTGCTGACAACTGTAGATTGCAAAGCCCAAGAAAATTCTTTACAAGGGCTCTTCCACAACCCTTCAGTAATCGTCTCTACCTAAATTCTCTCCACTGCTAACATTACCACCTCACAGTAAAAAGCCACTAGACCAAGATTAATAACATAAGCAATAATAGAACTAGTATGATTGAGCAGGATGGCAACTAAAGCCATTCTAAACCCTAAAGGACTACAGCTCCAATAAAATTTTACTGCTTTCAATTATATTTCAAAGGAATAATAATCATATACATTATTTAATTTTCACAGAATCTGTGCTGAAGGCTAAAGATAAAGAGGATACAGAAAAGACTAAACCCCCAAAGAAACTGGAGCGTCATTTAGAGGAAGAATTAGTCGACGACTACAGTCTTGACCTCAACAAACATAAAGATCTTGAAAATGATGAATGGAAATATGACAAGATTCCACAGTTCTGGAATGGATATAATGTAGCTGATTTTGTTGATCCTGACATTATGAAAGTAAGAAAATGTTTCAGTATACTGTATATTTAGTTAAACAAATTTATGCCTAATCAGTTTAGGGCTTATACAACACAAAAATAATAATGTCTCAAAATTCCTAGAACATGAGAAGACCAATGATCCAACTGTACTCGCTAAGTTGCTTTTGTGGGAGATAAGCCATAGCTCTTAGCACCTCACTTTTGAACCCTTAATTGACTGGTGTATGCAGCAGGTGTCCTTATCAAAAGCTAGGAGGAGGACTTTGGCAAACAGCACGAGAGACAGTAATTAGACGTAGCTGTAGTGCAGGCATGAGTGATTTCCAGCTAGTGGGCTGCATCTGTTACCACTTGCTAATACATATTTTTCTTTCTTTTATCTGTGTTTTCATATTCTCTCAGTTGGGTATGAAGAAGTTTTATATTTTTTTCAGTATGGTATATAGCAGAGGATTTGAGAACACTGATAACAGGGAAAAAAATGTATTTCAGTTGGTCTCTAGATCTGGCTCATGGACCACAGGTTCTGCTTGCTATACAGGTGCTAATGTGTCCACAATTTGGGAAACTTGCATGCAGTTGGGTGTTTGTGTTAGAGAGAGAGAGACTCCTGCCTTCTAGTACTAGTATTTTTGGGACTTGATGAATTGAATCTTCGGACAATTATTTGATTGTCAATGTAATAATGCTATAAGAAATATTTTGGGCACTAAATTTGTTTTGCTTGATTAGTTAGAAAGCATCTAAATAATTATTTGCTGGTGCTGGGGTCTTTTCTACCCTTTCATTGCTCATATGATACCATGTATACATTACTTATTTATATCTTTGTTTAAATATGTATTTGCCCCTAATAAACAACTGTTTCAGTGCACATATATTCAGGTCTGCAGCCATTGTCATAGAACTTAAGTACACCATTTACACCCATCCTATTTTTCCTGAACCATTTCCTCATTACCATACAAATTGCCTAACAAAGATTATTTGTCTTTCAAGAAATTTATCAGTACCCAATATGCATGTTTTAAAGCATTCATTATTTTTCGAACAGAAATTGGAGGAACTTGAAGCAGAAGAGGAGGCTCGGGAAAAGGCTGGATTCTATGATTCAGATGTGGAAGAAGAAGATGAATCCATGAAGGAAATCCATAGGCTAGCCAGTAAAATCCGTGAGAAGAAAATCATTAATGCAATAAATGCTAGGATTGATAAGCCTAAAGGCAAAGCTGTAATGACGCGCGTTTCAAGGAAGCGTGAGCGCGAGAGATCTGTATCTCGACTGAGGAATGAGTTTGAAGAATTGGGAGTGGACATGTCCGATGTGGATGGCTGTCACTTTACTCGCACCAAGAGTTCATCACGTTCACGTCCAGCACTTAAGAAGGCTCGCATGGACTCAGAAGGCAGAGTCCGGTCCAGTTCCAAAACTCCACGTGATGAGTCTGGAGTCAGAGATCCAAAGGTAATAAATATGTTGTATAGTGTGGGGGGGGGGGTGCATGTGTGTGTAGACACACATTTTTTAAAATGTTTCATATTATTAGGTATCCCTAGCAGGTAAACATAGCGACTAATTCTAGTTTTTAAATATTTTTCATATTATTATTAGGTATCCCTAGCAGGTATACATAGTGGGCCAATTCTAGTTTATTTGATTTGGCAAAGCATCATTGAATGACTATTTTGAGAATTCCTCATTGTATATACCTCACCCAGTCACTTCTTGCATGAGGGTCTACTATATTTTCTTGTTTACAAGTTGAGATAAATTTAATCATGTGTGGAGGGGCGTAAATAGGTTTCTAGAATACAATATACAAAAGGTTAAATTACATTTTTAAGAATTGCTTATGATATTGGTCCATAAAGGAATAATATGGTAGGGAAGTGTATAGAGCATACAGGAAGCGGCAACCATCATAAAAGATCTGGGGTATTAGCAAAGACTTATTCCCAGTACCCCCTTCCCGCTCAGCTCGTTGTCGCCGTCTGGGGGCTTAGTGGGCGGCTGCCGGAGTGTGATGCTCCTTGGGACAGTCCTCTGTCCTTTTCTAGCCTTGTGCTCCTGCTGCCGTCCTCTCCAATTCTGCTGGGCATCTTTTCCTTTTCCTTCTGTTTCGTTTTTCTCCCCCCTCTTCTCCTATCTGCTTGCCGTTTCCTGCCGACCTTTTGCTCGTTCTGGTTCTTCCCTTGGACTACTTCTACTTTGACGCCCGGGTGCTTGAGGAGGCATACTCTTGCACCTGTAGAACTGCAGTACCCGACGTCGAGAGCGAGGGGAACCTTTTATTGTCAATCCCCACTTCGTCACTGAACCCGATCTCGACGGACTGTCGGTTTCTTAAGGTGGCGTTTGTGGGGACGCACCCCTAGGAGGCCCCGACAAGATCGGCGATAGCTTCTTGTTGGGTGTCCTGCCTCTAATTGTGGCTCCATGGTGGGTGTGGGGGCACATTCGTGAGTGAATTCTTCTTTTCGTCAAGATGACAACCCCTGCTTCGGCTTCTTCTGGTTTACCTTCTCAGGCTCGTGGGGTGGGCGACCAAGCCCCCGAGTCGGTCCGTATTAGAAGACCGGGCTCTGTAGCCTCCGCTGCATTGGGCCCCGACCTTGCTCCTCCTTTGGCCTCTCTGACTCCTTCCTCTGGCTCCCCTCCCTCCTCTGTGGTTGGGTCGAGCCCCAAGCCCCCAGTGGTGACTACCTCGTCCCCTGGCGCGGCTCCTTCTCTGGTTGTAACTACTGCACCTTTTAACCCCTCTCTCTCTGGGGGTTCTCACCGCCGTCCTCGTCACGGCCGCCCTCGCTCGATTCCTTCCAGTTCTGCTACCTATCAAGCCTTGTTTGGTCCCGCTTCGTGGGCCAAATATTTTGATCTCCTCCCTCTTGATTCTGCGCCTCCTGACGATTTCTCCCTCCATCGACATCTCATTGATTCCGTGGATGCCTCCATTACTTTCAACCCCACTCGTCTCGGTACACGTGTCGTTGCTGCTCCTTCTCAGGATGCTGCTTCCCGCTTGGCTGCCTTATCCTGCCTTGGCGAGACCCCCGTTCGGGTCTCGAAGAACGCTCAGTTGAATGCCAGTGTTGGCACTATTTTGCTCCCGCCCCATGTTGCGACCGGTGTTCGGGACCTGCGCGACTGCCACGACGATATTCGACATATCCTCGCTGCCCAGGGCCATTCTATTCTCCAGGTGGACACGTTTACTCGTCCCCCTCGTGGTAGTCGCCGTCAACCCCTCCGGGTTGTGAAGATTACCTTTGATGGTAGGACCCTTCCACCCTCTGTCATTCTTGCTGGTGCCAGGTGCTCTGTCCAGGAGTACATTCCTTCTCCTCGGCTCTGCAACAAGTGCTGGAGGTTTGGGCATGGTGCCCTCCGCTGCTCCGGGACTGTCTCTCTCTGTCCTTTGTGTGGTGGCGAAGGTCACTCTAAGTCGGAGTGCGCTTCTCCCCAGGCTCGTTGCCTCAACTGCGGTGAGGCCCATCCTACCTTCTCCCGTGCGTGTGTCCATTACAAGCTTGAAGCAGCCGTCCTCAACTTGAAGCACCGGGAGCGTTTATCTTTTCCTGAGGCGAGGTGCCAGGTTCGCCGGCTCCCGCCTTATGCTAATATCTCTTATGCTCGCGTGTTGCGCTCTTCCTCTCCTCGTCCTTCCCGCCTTCCTCAGACTCACAACCGTTTCCGGGCCTTGGACCCTGATGCGCCCACTGCCCCCTCCTCTGTCCCTTTGGGTTCTCTCCCGAAGGATCCTCCTCCTGGTCCTCTGTCTGGGGTTCCCCTTCCTTCTACCGGTCTGTCGTGTCTTCTGTGTCCTCTTCCTCGTCCCCCTCCGATCCTCCATCTATCGGCTCTCCCCACCGCCTGTCGGTGCGGGCGGATGTCCATCGCTCTCCTAACGGCCGTCGTGTGTGCTCTCGTTCGGCTTCTCCTGTTGAGACACTGGAATCCGTTGCCCGGTACGTAGTTGTTGGGACACCGGTCTCTTTAAGTCAGAAGCGTAAGCCTGGCTCCTCTCCTTCCTCTTCCCCGGCGGGTAAGAAGGCTTCGCTTTCTTCCTCAGCTCCTCCTTCTGGCTCTGTTGCTCCTTCCCCTCCCGTTTCAGTGCTTACGCCCCCTGTTCCTGCTATGGAGGTTTCTTTGGCCCCTGCTTCCCTTTCGGTTGCTGCTCTTGCTGGGGTGCGCTCCCCTCTTTCTACTCCCCCTCTTCCTGCTGCTGTCCTTGACTGCTCCTCTCCGTTGTCTCCTCCTCCTCCTCCTCCTCCGGACCCTGCCCGCCCGCCTCTGATCTGTTCTCCCGTTTCCTTCCCTCCGTCTTTACTCAGTTTACCCATGCCCCCTAACCCTGACTTTGCTGACCCTGATCCCGACCCTGATATTCTTTAACGTGCTCTGTTGCTCTTTCGCCTTTGTTTCTTCCTTGTTCTCTGTTTTTGTCCTTTCTCTTCTCGTCGTTGTCCATTCTTCAATGGAACGTTCGAGGTTATTACGCCAATTTCCTCGAACTCCAACTTCTGATTTCGCGGTTTTCGCCCCTTTGTGTCTTTCTCCAGGAGTCAATGCTTGGTGCTCGTCCTGGTCGTTTTCGTGGCTATTCCTTTCTCTCCCCCCCCCAGCCATTGCTGGGGCTTCTAATTCTTCTGCTCTCTTGATTCGGGCTGATGTTCCCTTTGTTCCTTTACTTTTTCCTTCGCCTCTCCATTGTTCTGCTGCTCGTATCTTTGTGGGGAAATGGTACACAGTTTGTTCCATTTATCTCCCCCCGAGTGTCCCGCTCTCTCTTCCTGATTTGAAACACCTCCTAGACTCCTTGCCGGAGCCTGTGCTCCTGCTGGGTGACTTCAATTGTCGTCATTCTCTTTGGGGTGACGTTCTGACGAATACCCGGGGTCGCCTCCTTGAGCCGTTTCTCCTCTCTTCTTCCCTGTCTCTTCTGAATTCTGGTGAGCCCACTCATTTGGACTCTCGGACTCGCACCCTTTCTTGTCTTGATCTTTCTCTCTGCTCTTCTTCTCTTTACTTAGATTTCACGTGGCAGGTTCTTGATGACCTCCATGGAAGTGATCATTTCCCCATCCTTGTTTCCTTTTTCTCTTTTCGCCCTTCCCTCTCTTTCCCTAGGTGGCAGTTTGCTAAATCGGACTGGACCCTATTTTCCCTCAGTGCTACTCTCTCTGACCTCTCCCTTCTGCCCCTCTCTCGCGCTCTCCTCCTTTTTCATGACACTGTCTTCAACGCTGCCCTCCGCTCTATTCCTCGCTCTTCCTCTCGGGGTCCACGGAAGTGCGTTCCCTGGTGGAATGCAGACTGTGCTCGGGCTGTCCGCTGTAAGCGTGCAGCCTGGAAGAGGCACCGCCGTAGGCAGACGACCGATTCTTTTCTTTTCTTTCGGAAAGCGAGTGCGGTGGCCCGTAGGGCCATCCGTACGGCTAAACGTGAATGTTGGGCATCTTATGTCTCAACAATTACGTCCAAAACCCCTCTGGCCCAGATCTGGAAGCATATCCGCAAGATAGCGGGTAAGTTCGTTCCCGATGTTTCACCGGTCCTTCACCTCCATGATACTCTTGTGGCGGACCCGTTGCAGGTCGCTTCCGAACTGGGTTCCCACTTTTCTTCTGTTAGCTCTGGTCTTCATCTTCCCCAATCTTTCCTTCTTCGTAAACCTGTCCTTGAGTCTCGTCCTTTAGATTTCTGCACTCATCTTCAGCTTCCCTATAATGATCCCTTCTCTCTCTCTGAACTTCGTTCTGCCCTGGCCCTCTGCGGTTCTACGGCGGCGGGCTCCGATGGTATTCATTATGAGATGCTTCGCCATCTCCCTCCGGGCACGTCTCAGTATTTACTGAGTCTGTATAATCGGATCTGGGAGTCGTCGTCAGTCCCTGAGGACTGGCTCGATGCCGTTGTCCTCCCTGTTCGCAAACCGGGGTCTCTGGGTACTTCCCCTAAGGACTTTCGCCCTATTGCTCTCACAAGTTGTCTCTGCAAACTCTTTGAACGTATGGTTAACGTTCGTCTGATGTGGTTCCTGGAACACCATCACCTCCTCTCCCCTTCTCAATTTGGTTTCCGCAAGTGCCGCAGCACGACAGATGTCCTGGTGAACTTGGAGGTCTATATTCGTACTGCTTTTGCTGCGAAGACCTCCGTTGTTGCCGTCCTTTTTGACCTAGAAAAGGCTTACGACACCACTTGGCGTTATCATATCCTATCTCAACTTCATTCTTTTGGCCTTCGTGGTCATCTCCCTCTCTTTCTCCGCAGCTTCCTCTCTCGTCGTTCCTTTCGGGTGCGCCTTGGTACCGCTCTCTCTCCCTCTTTTCAGCAATACGAAGGTGTGCCCCAGGGTAGTGTTCTGAGCACTACTCTTTTTCTGGTTGCCCTCAATGGTCTTCTTTCCTCTCTTCCTTCTGGTGTCTTCTCCGCTCTCTATGTCGATGATCTTACCCTTTGTTGTCAGGGTGATGATTCGCCTTTCCTTCAACGCCGGCTTCAACTTGCCATTGATGCCGTGTCGTCTTGGGCCACAGGTCATGGCTTCAAGTTCTCTACTTCTAAGACTTGTGCCATGACTTTTACGCGGAAACGGGTTGTTCTTCGTCCCTCTTTGTCACTTTATGGTCATCCCCTTGAATACAAAGATTCCGTGAAGCTTTTGGGGTTATTCCTTGACACTCGTTTGTCTTGGTCTCCCCATATCTCTTACCTCCGTGTTGAGTGCTCTAAGGCCCTTACCCTCCTTCGGGTCTTGTCCCATACTTCTTGGGGGGGCAGATAGGCGCACTCTCCTTGCTTTACATTCCTCTCTCGTCCTGTCTAAGCTCGATTATGGTTGCCCTGCTTACTCGTCTGCTTCTCCTTCTACTCTTCGCCGTCTTGATGCTTTGCACCATACTGGGTTGCGTCTCGGTTCTGGTGCCTTTCGTTCGACTCCCATCCTTAGCTTGTATGTTGACACTGGCTTCCTGTCTCTCCAGGACCGCCGTGATCGCTACTGTCTTCGCTATCTTGCGCGGTCCTTGCAACATCCTTCCTCTCGCCTCTGTCGTGCTTTAACTTTTACCCCTCCTGCGGTTCCTGTTCCTCTTCACCACCTCCCTCTTTCTGTCCGGTTATCTCGCCTACAGGATTCTCTTTCCGTTCGTATTTCTGATGTTTCTCCTCGTGTTGTTCCTTCTTTGCCCCCGTGGAGGGTCCCTCTTCCGCGGTTTTGTACATCCTTGACCCGTATCACTAAAGCTTTTACCCCTCCTACGGTTCTAAAACGCCTTTTCCTCGAGCACTTTTCTTCTCACTCCCGCTCCGTTTCTGTCTTCACCGATGGGTCTAAGTCAGCGGACGGTGTTGGCTACTCTGTTGTTTTTCCTGATCGCACTTATATGTGTCGCTTGCCTCCGGAGACTAGCATCTTTACAGCGGAACTTTATGCTATTCTCTATGCTCTCCGTCTCCTGCTTTCTCGTCAGTCTTCCTTTGTGGTTGTTGTTGACTCTCGTAGTGCCCTCATGGCTCTCGGGTCCTTTAATCCGGTTCATCCAGTAGTTGTCGAGATCCAGCATTGGCTGTTTCTCGTTCACAGTAAATTTAAGTCGGTTGAGTTTTGTTGGGTTCCCAGCCATATTGGTGTGTCTTTAAATGAGCGTGCGGATGCTGCTGCCAAGGAAGCTGTCCGCTCTTGTCCCATCTCTCGCAAAGGCATTCCGTATTCCGACTTTTACCCGGTTATCCATTCCTCAGTCCTTACCCGTTGGCAGGCTTCTTGGTTGTCTGTTACTGGTAACAAGCTACGTACTCTTAAATGTTGTGTTTCCTCGTGGCCGTCCTCCTTCCACCGTAACCGGCGGTGGGAAACAGCTCTGGCGAGGTTGCGTATTGGCCATACTCGCTTAACCCATGGTCACTTGATGGAGCGCCGCCCTGCTCCTTATTGTCCTAGTTGCATTGTCCCTCTTACGGTCGTGCATGTCCTTCTTGAATGTCCTGACTTCCAGGACGAGCGTGTGTCTTGCTTTCCGACCGCCCCTCGCGGTCACCTGTCCCTCGATAGAATTCTTGGTGACTCGGATACTTTTGATATCGTTCGCCTTATGCGTTTTTGTTCTCGTATTGGCATCCTTGGTGATATTTAGCGCCCTCTGATTATTTTGCGTACTTGATGGTGCTACATAGCCTTCCCGGTTTGGTGCCTTCTTTTGATAATTACTTACTTACTTATTCCCAGTAATGACTTGAGAAGAAATTAATAAAGGATAGAATTACCAGACTTTCTAAATAAACAGATAATGGTGGATTTAGCAACTGGAATCCTTGAGAGAAATAGAAGAATGCATAAGGTAAGGAGGTCGGTATTATGAGAAAATAAGAAAATAAATGGCCAGAAGATAGGACTCATTAACGGATTTGTCATCAGATGGAAATTTCATTGTGAAATTGAGTAACGGATTACGAACTGTATGTACGTAATTTGAGACATTTTAAAGACAACATTTATTTGATTTCTGGGCATTTTGTATTGTGAAAGATAATGAATATATGTAATAATTTTATGTTTTTTTGTCAACAGATGGCTAAGAAAATGAAGACCATTGGACGCAAAGCACAAGCAACATCGAACAAAGATGGTCGCAAGGGTGAAGGTGATCGACACATCTTTAATCTTAAACCTAAGCATCTCTTTGCTGGAAAGAGAGGTGCGGGTACAGCTAACAGGAGATAAAACTCTCTCTTAAAGCCATAACTCAAAGAGTGAGCTTATTCAAGAATTGATGTGGTATTAATTGTTTTTAAGTTGTATGTTGTTGATTGAGGGGCAACGACGATTTCATTTATGTTGTCAATGACTGCAACATTAGTTAAGTGGTGTTCATAAAAATAAAAGGATAGTTTTCTCTTATGTTGAACAGACTTCTTGTTTTTGAAATGATATTCATACTGGGTTAATGAATTAATATATAACTTTATAAATATATTTAACAAAGAAATGTTTACTCTTAATGAAAATGTAAGCACAGATGAATGGTCTTTTAATCATTAAGGGGCATTCATGTTTACCACTTTATGCTTTCATTAAGGTCTTTTTGTAGAAATTATCAAATAATAAATGAGTCATACTTCTGATGTTTTTCACTCATGCCATTTGTAAGTACAGAATTATAATGCCATTTGAGTGAAACTTTGTATGTGAGAAAGCGAATTGGAGGAAGTGGAAATAGCTGGAATTCTGCAGTTCGAGTCTCCTAGAGCCCAGGTAAATGAAATGAAATGTAGTGTTATACGTCCTCTGCTTGCAATTGAGGGACTTTGGTTTAATATTCCTTGAGGTTACCTTGAGATGATTTCGGGGCTTTTTAGTGTCCCCGCGGCCCGGTCCTCGACCAGGCCTCCACCCCCAGGAAGCAGCCTGTGACAGCTGACTAACACCCAGGTACCTATTTTACTGCTAGGTAACAGGGTACACGGATTAAATACAGGCTCCCTGTTGCCAAAAATATGAAAAATAACAGCATCAAGCATATTTACCCAAACTCTTTCAAAGAAAACAAAAATGCTGTTGACACTTGTGGAAATATTGTGGGTTTGGTTTCTGTAATCTTTTGAGTCCTGTCAATATTTATATTTACTTCGAAGCTTTGGGGATTTACCAGGAAATGTTAGTGCAAGTGTTTACAGAAGCAGTAGTGTTCTCATAATTTTTCAGTCGTTCCTAGCATAGCAAGATATTATTAGCTAATCCATATTGTAATAACTTTTACTTAGTTAAAAATGTAGATATCCGGGTATATTGTAAGCTGTCCAAATTATCCAGCCCGTACTATTATTGGTATATCTCTTAATTCCAAACGATTATACTTTGTATAGTAATTTACTATGTAGTCTGGCTTGGAACTGTTCCATTTGCATTACAATTTGCCTGAGTAACAAACCAATCATAGAAGTCATCAATAACGTTGTGTTTATACAGGTCTTGATCATACAGTTGAACACAGAGGTCACATAATACACGACTTCCACCAACCGTTGATGGCTGGTAGTAATGTCGCCACGTTAAGTAGGCTTCGTACTCCTGTTGGGGAGAAAACAACAAACAATAAATGATAGTAACACAGTCTTGAAGGTTTCGTTACAAGTAAATAATTATAAAATGAAGGCACCAACCCGGGGAAACTATGTAGCACCATATCAGTGTTAAAGGATATTCAAAAGGTGCTAAATATCATTGAGGATGCCAATACGAAAGGTATCGGATTCACCAAGGATTCCATCAAGGGACATTAGGAAAGCAAGACAATCGTCCTAAAACTAGGAACATTCCAAGAGAAACGTTCTCATTCAGTCGTGCATTCAGAATCTAATGCGAATGTTAGTGATGCACTTGGAATCAATTTGATTCCAAATGCACGACTGTTAATTGGGCCAATACAGTTTAATGGAATGCCGCCCTGCTCCTTACCGTTCAATGTCCATGAGTTAAGCGTGTATGGCCAATATGTAATCCTAGCCAAAGCTATTTTCCACCATCTATTACAGTGGTAGGAGGAAGGCCAAGGGAATAAGTTACCTGTAAGAGTGCGTAGTTTGTTACCTGTAACCTCAGACCAACGACCCTTCCAGCAGTCTCTGATGGTGAAATGAATGACTGAGTGGGTAAGGATTTTATTAATATAAGTGCAAATAGCCTCCTTAGCGGCAGCGTTCGCATGTTCATTTAAGGTAACGCCAATTTGGCTGGGAGCACAGCAAAACTCAACTGTCCTAAATCTACTAGAGATAAGAAACACCCAATGTTGAATTTCGACTACTACAAGATGCATAGGGTTAAATGTCTCCAGGGTCATGAACGCACTGCGGGTCATCCACATTGACAAAGGCATGCTGACGACGAGAAAGTAATTGAAGTACATATACGGTTGCATAAAGTTCCGCCGTGAAGATGCTAAGTTTCCGGGAGCAGACTGCATATGTATTGTGGTCAGAGAAGACAGCGGAGTAGCCTACATTGTCGGCAGACTTAGACCCATCTATGAAGAGGGCAATGGAATGAGAGTGTGAAGAAAAATGTTTAAGGAAAGGGCGTTCCAGAATCGTAGGAGAGGTGGAAGCCTTTATTATGTGGGTCGAGGTCTTGCAAAACTTTGCGAGTGTGACCTTCCGTGGGGGCAAAGATGGAACGACACGAGGAGAAATATTGCTAACATGAACTGAGAGGGAATCTTGCAGGTGAGACATCCATGCAGAAAAATTAAGGCTGTGAAAGGGAATAGGGCCAGCATGAGGGGTAACAGTCAAAGCACGTCATAGGCGAGAATGAGGATGTTACCTGTTTGATCGGGTTCTGGGAGTTCTACTCCCCAAACTCGGCCTTGACTTGTGAGAGCTTGATCCAACAGGCTGTTGCTTGGAAGCCCACAGGTTGCAGAGAAGCGAGATGTTGCAGGGACCGCGCAAGGTAGTGAAGGCAGTGACGATTACGAGGATCCTGTAGCGACAGGACTCCAGTTTCAATATACAGACTCAGGATAGGTGACGAATGAAAGGCACCAGAGCTCTGGCGTAACCCAGTATGGCCCCGAACATGAAGACAACGAAGAGTCGAAGAAGTGGCAGAGGAGTAAGTGGGACAGCCATAATTGAACTTAGACAGCACGAGAGGAATGTAAATAGAGGAGCGTGCTTCCTCTATTTATCTCTCTCAGCTACACGGAGATGAAGTATTTCATGAAACGGACAGAGAGAAAGATCTAGGAGTTGATATCACACCAAAACTGTCTCCTGAAGCCCACATAAAGAGAATAACGTCTGCGGCATATGCGAGGCTGGCTAACATCAGAACGGCGTTCAGGAACCTGTGTAAGGAATCATTCAGAATCTTGTACACCACATATGTAAGACCAATCCTGGAGCATGCGGCCCCAGCATGGAGCCCGTACCTTGTCAAGCACAAGACGAAGCTGGAAAAAGTCCAAAGGTATGCTACTAGACTAGTCCCAGAACTAAGAGGCATGAGTTATGAGGAAAGGCTGCGGGAAATGCACCTTACGACACTGGAAGACAGAAGAGTAAGGGGGGACATGATCACAACCTACAAAATTCTCAGGGGAATCGACCGGGTAAACAAGGATAGACTATTCATCACTGGTGAGACGCGAACAAGGGGACACAGGTGGAAACTGAGTACCCACATGAGCTACAGGGACGTTAGAAGGAACTTTTTCAGTGCCAGAGTAGGCTGACTCCATACACAGTTTTAAATGTAGATATGATAGAGCCCAGTAGGCTCAGGAATCTGTACACTAGATGATTGACAGTTGACAGGCGGGACCAAAGAGCCAAAGCTCAACCCCCGCAAGCACAAATAGGTGAGTACAGGAAGTAGCGTGGGATCAGGCCTTAGCCTTGGGCTTAAGAGCGTGTAACCCATGTCCAACTGATGTTCACATGGAACCCTTTCCATTTCCACTTCGGTCTTCAAGGAAGAATAGTATCTGCTAGTACCACCAAGATCTGCGAAGAATGACCTGCTTACTCGGAAGCAGGTCATTCTATCAGGAGATAGCGCCAAGCCATTACGACTGTATAGTACGTAAAAGGGATTAGGATAAAGATTAGGGAAAGGAATGGTGTTCAACCACTTGGACGGTCGGGGATTGAATCCCGACCTGCATGAAGTGAGACCGTCGCTCCACCGCCCAGTCCAAGTCGTTGGGCAAGGACTGGACGGTAGACCTAAACTGTATAATCTGAACTGCATAATCTAAATGGGGCCTATCAAGACCAAGATACAGCTGAAGAACACCAAGCGTTTCATAACTAACGCTTTGATTTTAATCGAGTTTTAATTTTGTTATTGTGCACCCAATACTCATCCTGTGAGCGGTAGTGTAAAAAAGGATTACAGAGAGCACTAAAGGTCTTTATCAGACCTCAAGGAAGATTATTACATTAACAATTACATATATCTTGCACACCTTATAATTATACTTTCAGCTAGAAACAGAGATTGTTCCACTTCAACAGCCAATGTATTCACAATTAATCACTATTCTTTAATGAAAAGACTTTTCGGTAACACATATTTGTTTTAGCTATGGAGATATTAAAGGGTCATTGGAAAGCTACTATTTATTATTAATATTCTTCACATTACACTGTTTGTTCCTTAGTCTCATGTCATTTAACTATTGGAGGCGAAACATGGATACAGTGCAAGGATTTCAGGGAGCCGATCGGCCAAGCGGACAGCACGCTGGACTTGTGATCCTGTGGTCCCGGGTTCGATCCCGGGCGCCGGCGAGAAACAATGGGCAGAGTTTCTTTCACTCTATGACCCTGTTACCTAGCAGTAAAATAGGTATCTGGGTGTTAGTCAACTGTCACGGGCTGCTTCCTGGGGGTGGAGGCCTGGTCGAGGACCGGGCCGCGGGGACACTGTTACTTATCGTTCGTTACGGCTCGTGACCCTACAACAGCCAACTTTAAAAAGGTCTAGGGTTACTAAAAACTGCTGTTCACAAGAGCGGGTCACCAGTATAACCCCTTAATAAGCACTGTTAAATTTTCCTTTAGGACTGAAGGAATACATATAAAACTTATATATATATATATATATATATATATATATATATATATATATATATATATATATATATATATATATATATATATATATATATTACATAAATCTCAATAGCATACAGATGGTTACTTTTATCACAAATATATCAAATTAAAAATATTACTGTCTCTCCCAGAAATTAATATAATATTATTATATGTATGGTTATGACAGAACAATAATGTAAAACTTAACTCCACAAGATGTTAACTCTGGTTCCGGATCAGCTACTGACCTACATATCTGCGGGAGTCAAAATCATTGCCTCTGCCCCGCGAAAAATTGTCAAAGTTACAATGTTTATTAATTCTACAATGGAGCAATATATTGTGACAAGAGTAATCTTAAACTAACTTAATGAATGGTCAATACCTATTGGTATAACAAAAATAAGGTAATTATTGCTTTACATAGTGATTAAAATACACATACAAAGGGGAATGATGGCATGCTCATCCAGCAACGGACTATCCCACGACAATTTGCCAGATACAGTTCACACAATTATTATTCACCTATGTTACCCACATATGATCACATATAAATCATTAGTTCCCATGGAAAACTGAGTACACAAAGAAATAAAACAATCATTCCCACGATACGTTGGGCCTAACGCCAACAATGTAACATGAAATTATTTTACATAGAACATATAAGTATATCAATATACATACATGTAATTTATACACAATTATAAAGGTACATATTAATTTATTTAATTACGTATCTTATAGAGGTACGTAACAGACACTAAAGCCCCGAAATCATCTCAAGATAACCTCAAGATGGTATCCTTCGTAAAAAGATAGTGTGCCATTTCATACAGCGTGAATTTAGATTTATCTCTAAATGGCTTAATTTTATTACAGCTTAAGATATAATGCTCAAGTGTGTGTCCCTGTCTTTGTTCACATACTTAAACACTTTACTTCATCTAGGTCCTTATACAAGCCGAATTGCCAGAGATACTTGTTTCCAAGTCTAATTCGAGTTGTAACAATCTTAGTCTGCTGATTTTGTTGACAATTTAAGGGACCTATTTGAGAACTCAAGATTCCGTTCAATATTGTCTTTACTTCCTGCAGTCTTAGCAAGGGCGTCAACTTTATCATGTTCCTGCAGTCCAATGTGACGTTTCTAGAAACAAATCCCAGTATCCTAGTTACTGGGAACTTTTATTACGAACTATTACCAACTTTTTTTACATGGATTTTTTGTCTTTAAATTCTTATTAACCATGACCACCAGATCTTTTTCACAATCAGACTTAGCAATTTCAATACCACCCACCTGATATCTGTCATTATTATCTAGCCTCAGATCTTATATTTGTCAGCATTAAACTACATCTGCCAAAATCTGAGTTTTTTACCATTTCAAAACCCTATCTAGATTGTCTTTAAGTGATTTTGAGTTTTCGGAGTTTATTTCCCTCCCTATTTTCTTATCGTTGGCAAATTTGCAAATATTGCTGCTCAAGCTGATTTTAAATGATTTATACATGTTATAAACAACAGGGCCCCAGGACAAAGCCTTGAAGCACTCCACTTACAACAGTTTCCCCACTCTGACTTAATTTCATTTATACTAACAAGGGAGATATTAATAATATTAAATATATCAACTCAAAGTAGAAGCCAAAACAATGGAGAATTTTAGATTCAAGAAAGACCTAGGGTAAATACTTGTTTTAAATAGAGTGGTTATTTAATCGAACAAATTACAGAGTTAGCTAATAGACGTTGGATCACTTGATTGTTTCAGGAGTAAGTTAGACTTAAACTTGAATGAGCTGGGTTGAAATATATCTGAGCCGACTCGTATGGACCAATAGGCCTAAGGCAGTGTTCCTTTAATCTTATGTTCTTAAAGTCAACATTATAGAGGCAACTGGTATAGCTGGCTTTAAAAATGGGCTGGAGAGAAACATGAGGCGAGGGCTTGCATCTAGATGGATACCACTCAGAATCGTTCACGCCCAATGCGGTGGATATTACTTATGAAGTAGAAACACATAAATAATTGTTTACCAAAGGTATTCAAACAACTTCAAGTCTTACCTTCGGATGAAGAGCCAAGTACTGTAACCTTCGAGCAAGTTGTTCTGGCGTGTAGTCGAGTGCGTTGATGTAGGATTTAGGAGGGAGCAAGGCAGAATAGTCTGCTGCCCCCAATACCACAGGAACTATCGGATAGTACAGCAGGTTATATAACTTTTCTGTTACATAGTCTTTACACAATGCGTTTTCAAATGCTAGATAAAAGAGATAATGGTGTCCAGCGTATTGCATACAAGGTTCCCAATCAATCCTATATCCCTTATTGGTATTTAAGGAATGCCCACACTTCAGGTCTCCACATTTTCCATAAACATCAATAGGGGCGTGTTTCTTTAAGGCTTCAATATATTTTAATCTTCCACTATCATCATCACAGTTAGAAACAAATGCAACAGCAAGTCTTTGAGTGTTATTAATCTGTTGTAATTCAGGTTGTCTGCGCCATGATGGAGGCAGGAGACTCGCCTCTCCGCCACGACGGACAACAAAGCCATGCAACACGTGAATGTCCGAGTCCTGGCGGTAGTGCATAGTCCGGTTAAAGACTCCATTTAGCGTCTTGTAGTCATTCATATACATGAGATTTGCTCTCAAATGTGTTTCTGCTTCAAACATGATCCACGGCTGAGATGCATCACGTCTCCCTAAGTCTTGTATTAACTGATCCTTGCTTTTTACACTTGACAAATGTATTAATACCGCATCTGCACTTGTTACCTGGTTTTCATTAGAAAAAAAGATTTATTTAAGATACAAAATTAACTGCATAAAAATATATAAAAATAGTTGTAAGTTAATGTGTATCGTCAAGTTTAATACACTTATATCCTCTTATATCACTCGGAAATTTCACCTGCTCCTTAAGACAAAATAAACATGCGTAATGTCTCACTCCAGTAATGCTACACCGCTTCATACAACTACATCAGATGTAGAGTGCTTCCGCGAGAGTTGTCATTTAATATGTTCATTCACTCCTAGTTAATAAACCCATGTAAGCTAACATATAACATCAGTAATTGTCTAAGACTAACCTGGCTGATGTCTGAGGTGATGTTGCAGGGTAATGGACAATGGCCCTCAACAATGTCCCACGTAATTACGTCATACCAGTCATAATATACATACATCTTATTGACATACATCACCACTTTTGGAATATATCCAGACCTAAATCTTAAGAAAACAAAAATAATGCATTAGAAATACAGTATTCGTGACAAAGCACATAGTCTACATAAAAAAAAACTAATATAGATAGAGCAAGTACATACAATACCTAAAGCCAATAATACACACAGCATTTTGGGCTCTCAGCCATACATATACATGAGAGCTGTCTTGCTATAAGACAAACCGTTATTAACATAAATGCTAACGGTAATAGGTGTGGCGTCATAATCTGGCGACCACTGAGTATTTAATTTATTTAATTAATTTATTTATCTAATAAGAGTACCCAGTTCCATGGTGAGTGTAATATTAGATGCTATCGACCATGAGGGATATTATTAAGGCATCATTAGGTTGCATAAACAGAGAGAAACTAACATAGCATGGGTTAATATGTATTTAACTATATTGGCACAAAAACTAGACACACCGACATTTTATCGCTGAGATACTACCAAAACATGATCAAGTGGCTGTTACCTTGTACGAGGAGTCTCCATATAAGATTGTTCTGCAGCCTGGCGATACGCCTCTAACACTGGGGCTAAGAACACGTCCTTAAACTCCTCAACTGCAACGTGATACAAATTAATGTTGTAATGTACACCTTTACCCTACATATTATTAATGATGGATTTATTAACTAATTGGTAAATAATTTCTTGGCATCAGTAACAGCTGTCACTGGCACTGAATAAATAAAGTATTAAAAATCAAATTTAAACAAATTAGTTAAGATAATGAAATTAATCAAAATCAAATTAAAGGCTTTATTCATAAAATACATTTGTTATAGTGTGCAGTCCCGTTTTACTGTATATCCCGCTTATAAGAGTCAAAACGCCCTGATTGTATATACCTCAAAGAATAGTGAAGTGATTTTGTACATTTAAGGAAAAGCCCGAGATGTTGGTTGACGACAATTATGATTTTTGTTCGTTTGAAATGAGGCTTCCAGATTGATTGATTGATTGATGAAGATTAAGCCACTCAAAAGGTGGCAAGGGGAATGAATAGCCCGTAAGTGGTGGCCCTTTTGAGCCATTACCAGTATCATTAGCTGATACTGGAGATCTGAGGAGGTGCGACTGCACCTTGCATGACGGGAGATGTCTCCCGTCATGGCTTCCAGAGTTTCCTCCTGGATTAAATATGGTGGAGGAGACCCTTTGGAGGAGATCTTTGCCGCCCAAGGGGGCGGGGCTACAGTGCATTGTGGGAGCCGCGCCAGCCGTCTGTTGATTGGTTAGTGGCGAGGGTGTGTCATTCTCGGCCAATGGCGCGGAGCCCCGGGCGTGACGTTGGGCGCCCAGGGCGGGAAGAGAGCGCCAGAGCTTCTCCTGTGACGGAACCGAACGGAAGTGCGCTGGAAAGCTCTCTAGCTTGGGAGGCGAAGAGGCCTCCGGAAGACGATATTCGCCGAGAGTGGTGCCAGCCTACAGTGTCCTCAACGAGTACACGGAGGAGAAGGAGCTGCCGGCGAGGGACGTGCACGGAGAAGACGAGTCAGCCGTGGACCAACGACGAGCTGGACCAAACCTGTCATCCTGGAGCAAACCTACGAGAGACCGGACCCCGCCTGTCATCGCGGAGGAGATTTACGAGGAACCGGGCCCCGTTTGCCATCACGACCTGGTATCCACGACTCATTTAGCGGATTGATAAGGTAGATAATTCTTCCTTCCCCATTGTCCCTTGTGTTAGGCTGAGTTTCTCTAATAGGGAGTGATAACATTAGATTTATTGTAAGGAGATTTTCAGGCTCAATAATGTATTTACGGATATATATATATATCATATATATATATCCGTAATATATATATATATATATATTACATATATATATATATACCATAACCAAACCATCGCCAGAGAAATCCTAGTAAACAACACAGAAATCATCGATAGATACAGCGATAGCAGGCGGCTTGACGTTTGCGAGGCACTACACATCAAGAAGTCAACACCAGCAATCAACAGCCAATTATTGCACAACTATATTCTACCCACCTCAAGACTCCGCTCCAATATAGAAGCATCAAGAAATATGGACCAATAGGCTTTCTACAAACACTTCTATTCAATACCCATTGTTTCTGTTCTGTCTTGTGTTGATACTTTTAATACCCTATTAATATCCTCTAGTGTTCTGTCTTGTGTTAATGCCACATCATCCTTCCCACCTCACTCAAATGTAATGCCACATCACCCTTCCCACCTCACTCAAATGAAGATATAAAATCAGGGAAACGCAAGTTCTAATCAGTTGTGTATTTGTGAAGTCTTTGAAAATGTAATAAGTTTTACGAAACGCGCCCGTGTCGCGTCAGACTAGAAATAAAAATGAATTTTGGAGAAGTGATTTTTGATTTACCTCCAACAGTGAAGCATAATGTACGAAAGATTGAGAAAATTCGTGTTAGAATTATTAATCTTACTTTTTCGGTCATATTTAATAATATATATATATATATATATATATATATATATTATATATATATATATATATATATATATATGTGTTTCATTGAATATGACCGCATATTCTGTATTTATTATTTTCTGGTTTAGGGCTTCTATCCCTCTAACTATTTTCTTAGCATCAGGGCTTAATAGAAATAGGAGTTCTCCAAAACTCATTTTCGTACTTTTAAGGTGAAGAAAAGAAGTGATTTACTATAGAGTGTATTACACTTATTTGTATAATTTGCACGACGTTTCGAACCTCCATGGTTCATTCTCAAGTGAACAGATCTTACAATACTAGTTGATTTTATACCCGCATTAGGTCAGGTGATAATACAATGAAGGTGAAAACATTGGGGGATACATAAGGGATAAACATAGGGGCTGCAGAAGGCTTATTGGCCCATACGAGGCATCTCCTATCTAAACACAAAGATTAATCCAGTGTAATTGGCCTGTTATGTTGGACATTGTCTTCTGTGTTGGCATCGATATGTTCTTGTCTTGTCCTTACTCTCATGGTGGGTAGAGTAAATAGTTCCGTGATTTGGGTGTTCATGGTAGGTCGCTCTATTCTTATGTGAATTGCCTCAAGAATTTGTAATCTTCTTGAATCTTGGGTTTTGTCTATTATGCAAGTATTCTTGTTCAACATTTCTCTTGTTAGAGTAATGTCATGGGCTTGTCTCATGTGATTCCTAGGGGCACCAGATTGAAGATGGCATGTCAAACGCCTCGTCAGCTTGGTCGACGTCATACCTATGTACTTACATTGAAGGTTACATCCTTCGTGGGGGCAAGTGTACATGTATACAACGCTTGACTGCTGTAGAGGGTTCTCCGTCGGCTTCGGGCTGTTTTTGATAAGGAGTTCGGAAGTCTTCTTGGAAGTCTGTATCCCCCAATGTTCGGAAGTCTGTATCCCCCAATGTTTTCACCTTCATTGTATTATCACCTGACCTAATGCGGGTATAAAATCAACTAGTATTGTAAGATCTGTTCACTTGAGAATGAACCATGGAGGTTCGAAACGTCGTGCAAATTATACAAATAAGTGTAATACACTCTATAGTAAATCACTTCTTTTCTTCACCTTAAAAGTACGAAAATGAGTTTTGGAGAACTCCTATTTCTATTAAGCCCTGATGCTAAGAAAATAGTTAGAGGGATAGAAGCCCTAAACCAGAAAATAATAAATACATAATATGCGGTCATATTCAATGAAACATGTTTGAAAGAAAACCTGCTGCCAGTATACACCATATATATATATATATAACTGAAAACTCACACCCTTTTTCAGTTGCATATTGTCCTGGGGACCATTCAGGCTTGTTCGCATATATATATATATATATATATATATATATATATATATATATATATATATATATATATATATATATATATATAAAACCTGTTTTTTTTCTGGGCTTATGTCTTCTCATACCCATAAGAATGGGGAAAAGAGTATTCATATGAATGAATTAAAGATAACATTTTGGGACATTTTCGTTCACCTGATGCCTCTGTTAGCCTAGTTGAAAATAGGTAACCTTGAGACAGGAAGCTGTTATGGGTTGCAACTCGGGAAGGTCTATCGTTGGCCCAGGCTTTAGACGACCTTGATAAGCCTCCGTGGTGTAGTGGTAAGACACTCGCCTGGCGTTCCGCGAGCGCTTTGTCATGGGTTCGTATCCTGGTCGGGGAGGATTTACTGGGCGCAAATCCTTAACTGTAGCCTCTGTTTAACGCAACAGTAAAATGTGTACTTGGATGAAAAAACGATTCTTCGCGGCGGGGATCGTATTCCAGGGACCTGCCCGAAACGCTACGCGTACTAGTGGCTGTACAAGAATGTAACAACTCTTGTATATATCTCAAAAAAAAAAAAAAAAAAAAAAAAAAAAGGCGTTTCCTTCCCAAAACAATGAGAAACGGAACTAAATTTTCGACTGCCAAAAATATTCACCTTTCCACCAATACCAGGCCAGACGTTAAGTATTTTACCAGTTAGAATTTACTAAAGCAATTGAACTTAAACTTCATTCGATTACATGTGCCCCTTTCACCCTTATTTTTTAATAATGTAATACGATGATAGTGGAGGAAATAATGTAGGGAGGAGCAATATTTGGGCAGATAAAACAGATGAAAGCACTGTTCCCTCCAATGTTCTCACTGGGGCATAAGAAATATATAATAAAATCAGTCATATTTACAATCATGGAGAGAACTTCATAAGTCCGGCCAGCCTAAAATATTTCAGTTCTCTCCATGATTGTAAAGCTGACTATAATGAATATATAGCTGACTATAGCTGAATATAACGATTCTTCGCGGCGGGGATCGTATTCCAGGGACCTGCCCGAAACGCTACGCGTACTAGTGGCTGTACAAGAATGTAACAACTCTTGTGTATATATCAAAAAAAAAAAATATATACCAAACAAAGGATATATAAAAATAAATAGCGATTCTTGCATTTGAAATATATTTTTAGTTGACTAATTTCCAAAATGACGATACAGAAACAAACATTAGATTACCTGACTGGTTGATGTGTCCGGCATCAGAAGCAGTGAGAGGCATGTATAATGAACCCCAGCTTAGCGGACTCCCCCGAAGTGGCAGCTTCAGGCAGCGGCTGCTCTGGCTGATGATATATTGCAACCTGGAAACATGAACTATTATCAGTAAAGATGTAGACAACCTTCTGGCCATTATTATGCCTATAATAAAGAGGTGTATGGTTGGAGGCCAGACGCTCGGTGCTAATCTCACCAAACTTTGCAGAGTGACTGGTGGTTGCCGGAGACGGTCATAGGGGATCGGTCAGGGTTGGCCTCCCATGTAACCCATCATACAGTCGATGGGGATGAAGTGTTCGGTTCCAAGCCCATAGAATTGAATCATTAGAATTTAACCCTGTTAAAATCAGTGAGGGGCAAGAAATTCCAGAACGCATTTTCTGACGGCAGATTTGCGCTGTGGGTATGCCAACTAGTTTCTATAATAAACAGCTGCATTGTAAAAATGGCCAAATCCCTACTTATTGAAATTAATTATGAACTGAATAATGCATAACTAATAACTACATCCACGCCTCCACCCATCACCACCACCAGGACACGGTAACTGGACACCACCACCAGTAAAAACAAGAATCTCGAACTGCAGTTCTGGCAGAAAAAACTATAGATAGTTGGAGACACTCAAACAGGTAGTCAACTTTACAAACAAAAATGCTTGCTATTCAAAAATCTCTGGAACATGTTCTTGTGATCTTGTTGGTTGAATTCTTGTACCAATCTGCAGCTTGGTACAAGACTTCAACCAACTACGAACCATTTATTTTGATGAAAGGAAGCAGTAGAAAAACAGAAGAAAAACAGAACAGTGATGCACTTACACTGCATCATGCTTGGAAAACTATGTGCATGGGAAATAGACTTACAGGTTCCAGAAGATGAGAGGAAATGTCAGCACTGTGGAGAAATGACAGACTGACCACTGGAACATTATTGTTATGGCTTCATTTTGCCTGTTATAGGGTTCTGTTCATGTTCGACTTTATATGGGGCCTCAGTGCCTCTTCTTACCAGATCCAACCCAGAGTCGTTGGTAACTTAATGAAAACTGGCAGTAATAGTCAATCTAAAGGGGAAGGAGGTAAACAACACTAAATAAAACCATCACCACGTGTACTTCTTAACATATATATACATATACTGTGTATATATATATATATATATATATATATATATATATATATATATATATATATATATATATATATATATATATATATATATATGTCGTACCTAGTAGCCAGAATGCACTTCTCAGCCTAATATGCAAGGTCCGATTTGCCTAATAAGCCAAGTTTTCATGAATTAATTGTTTTTCGACTACCTAACCTACCTAACCTAACCTAACTTTTTCGGCTACATAACCTAACCTAACCTATAAAGATAGGTTAGGTTAGGTAGGGTTGGTTAGGTTCGGTCATATATCTACGTTAATTTTAACTCCAATAAAATTTTTTTTTACCTCATACATAATGAAATGGGTAGCTTTATCATTTCATAAGAAAAAAAATAGAGAAAATATATTAATTCAGTAAAACTTGGCTTATTAGGCAAATCGGGTCTTGCATAGTAGGCTGAGAAGTGTATTCTGGCTACTAGGTACGACATATATATAACCTTATATATATAGCGTCTTAACCACTACACCACGGGGACTGATAATCGTAATTTAATAGAGTAGAAGAAGTAGTTCCAAAACAATATAATCTTACTGAAGCCAACACACGAGTCATAAGTACTCATCCATTGCCTAAGTAAGACAGAAATGAGTAACACTAAGTGGGCCAGCCAGAGAATTAGGGCCCGTGCAGGCATCCCTTAAAAAGAAAAAAACGCCACCAGTACACAGTAACTAGACATTTCAACCGATCAGCACCACCAGGCAAACGCGTGGAAGGAGACGGTCGGGTCAATACCTGGAGAAGGTCAGGTCTAAATGTTATTTTGTTCACATCAAAATGTGATGTGAAGCCAGGTCACCAGATGGAGGGAGAAGGTCAGGTCACTAAATGGAGGTCAGGGGCCAGATTCACGAAGCAGTTACGCAAGCACTTACGAACCTGTACATCTTTTCTCAATCTTTGGCGGCTTTGTTTCCAATTATTAAACAGTTAATGAGCTCCGAAGCACCAGGAGGCTGTTTATAACAATAACAACAGTTGATTGGCAAGTTTTCATGCTTGTAAACTGTTTAATAAATGTAACCAAAGCTGTCAAAGATTGAGGAAAAATGTACACGTTCGTAAGTGCTTGCGTAAGTACTTTCGTGAATCTGGCCCCAGGTCACTACGAGGAGGGAGGAGGAGGTCAGGTCACCACGAGGAGGGAGGAGGAGGTCAGGTCACCACGAGGAGGGAGGAGGAGGTCAGGCCACTACGAGGAGGTCAGGTAAACATGGGAACAGCTTACCTGAGCGTCAGCAACAATGGGACCACCAACAGCCAGAGGCAATACAGTGGTACTCTGGACTTCATGATGGCGTTGTGGTAGTCGTTGAGTGATGGTTCAGTTTTTGAGTTGCCACAGTCAGTGGTTGATAAGGCACCTGCTGGTTAATGATGTGGTCCCTGCTGGTTGATGTAGCAGCTACGGGTTGATGTAGCAGCTGCTGGTTGATGTAGTAGCTGTTGGTTGATGATGTGGTCCCTGCTGGTTGATGTAGCAGCTGCTGGTTGATGATGTGGTCCCTGCTGGTTGATGTAGCAGCTGCTGGTTGATGATGTGGTCCCTGCTGGTTGCTGTAGCAGCTACTGGGTGGCGATATGCCCCAAAGTTACACACCAACTCCCGAGATTGTGGTTTTTGGTGAAGAACTGGAAAAATGATACAAAAAAGAGGATAAATTATTTGTAACAATGTACCTTCCTTCTCCTTCACCACCTTCCCTACTCTTCACTACTTTCCTTCTCCATCACCTATCCTACCCTTGAACATCTTCCCTCTTATCCGTCCCTATCTACCCTGTCAATGTAGTTGTAAAGTTGTACAACTACATTGGTAGTTATAGTTGTACTATACTATAGTTCTCGGTAGGTAGTTGTACCCCTGTCAATTAATGTTCTAAAGTTTTAAACATTGAACTTAAAAATACTGAAACAATTGTTAGCAGGCCTTATTTATAATTTTTTTTTTAACTTTAAGAAAATACAATATAAATTAGATTCAGATTCAGATTCAGATGTTTATTCAGGTAAGGTATATACATACAAGTGATGTTACATTAATGGATTGATATATAGATAGAGCTAGTACATACAATGCCTAAAGCCACTATTACGCAATGCGTTTCGGGCAAGAAAAACATTAATATCTAGAACTTAATACTAATTGAGCATAAAGAATAAATATATAATTACATATACATAAGTTTTACAAGGCAATTATACATTACAATTCTTAGTGAACAAGTGTTTCAGTAGTACAGAACAAGATCTTAAACAAAAAAAACTGAATGTTATACTTATTTACCTATAAACGATTTACAAAAATTGGAGAATAAATTTACATTAAAATATTTACATTAATTTAAAATAAAATCCTAGACAAGAGACTCAGCTTCAGTACCCACATACAACACATAACTAAGAAAGTCTCTAAAACAGTTGGTATACTCTCCAAAATCAGATATTATGTACCTAACTCTGCTCTCATCTCTCTATATTATGCACTAATCTATCCCTATCTCAACTATGGTATCTGTGCATGGGGTTCAACCACTGCAAACCACCTCAAGTCCATCATCACCCAGCAAAAATCTGCTATCAGAATAATATCAAATTCTGCTTTCAGACAACACTCAGCCCCCTTGTTTAACTCCCTAAACATGCTAAACATAATCTCACTCCATAAATTCTCTTGTGTCGACTACATTTACAAAACCCTGTTCTTAAATGCAAATCCTGCTCTGAAACTCTTCCTGGACAGATGTAATAGGACCCATTATCACCACACCAGAAATAAATATCTCTTTGATATCCCCAGAGTTAAACTTAATCTGTGTAAACACTCTATGCAAATAAAGGGACCCAGTTTATGGAACTCACTCCCTATTGAATTGAAAAGCTGTCCAACTTTTACATCATTCAAAATCAATACTAAAAAGTACCTAATTTCATCTTCATAGTTTTTCACTTTTTGCCTTAAAATTGCACTGTATCTATTGCTACCCAATCTCCCAACCTTTATGTTCCCAATTTGAACATCTTTACCATTGTAATCATTGCTGTCTTCTTATATGTGATGCCAATCTGCTGTATGGTGTTTATTAATCTTGTTTATCTGTATCTATTGCTACCCAGTCTCCCAATCTTTATGTACCCAATCTTAACATCTTTACCATAGTGATCATTGCTGTCTTATATGTGCTGTCAATCTGCTGTATGGTGTCTTTTAATCTTGTTTAAATTACTAATCAAGCTGTCAATGTTATCAATCAGAGCTTTAATATAACAATGTGCTTTAATATACTTACTAAGCTCTCTCATCTCATTTTTCTCTTGCAATGTATCTTTATCATTTATCAATTCTGATAGAAATTACCTACTTAAAATTATCTGTTGGATTAAGGACCTGCCCGAAACGCTGCGCGTACTAGTGGCTTTACAAGAATGTAAATACTGTACTATCCAATGTATTCTCACAAACCCAATGTACCTTCTTGTATATATAAATAAATAAATAAATAAATACATGAGTTACCTCTTAACTTACAAATGCGTGTTGTAGCCTACTTGTCTGGAGAACTTTGCAAACAGATCCCATCCGAGCCATCCCAGTTCTTGATGGGTTTTCCTTGAATTCTCGTCCACGCATCACTGAGTCTATGATGGAATGATATATGAATAACTTTTCCTCCTTTCGACCCGCCTTCTTCACAGGAAACAGGCAATAAAATACCCACACAATTTACGATGGACTGAACGCAAATTTAGTCGCAAACATTATGATCGTAAGGCCAAAATGTATTCTGCAGGAATATATACGAGGTATACCCCATTTATCGGTGTATATAAACTGAGATTACTTTAGCTCTGGATTATGTTCAGGTCTAAATCGTACTTACTGGTTGATTAGTAAGGTAGAGTCAAGATCTTAATCCAACCTGTTATTTAACAAACAAAAAGGTCACTTTTCGCTGGTATGCATTATACAAGACCACAAATTGTCGTACTAGAAAATGGAAGCGGCTCGCGAAAGTGACGTACTGTCCCGTTTTCTGTTTTGGGTCCTCTGGTCGGTTAGGAGAGGACACTTTATGTTGACCGTTTTCTTGACGTTGGAAAACCTTATTAGGACGGGCTGCTTAATGCCAGGATTGATTGATGAAGATTAAGCCACCCAACAAGTGGCACGGGCATGAATAGCCCGTAAGTGGTGGCCCTTTTTGAGCCATTACCAGTATCATTAGCTAATACTGGAGATCTGTGGAGATGCGACTGTACCCTGCGTGACGGGAGATGTCTCCCGTGGTGTCCAATTGATTGATGAAGATTAAGCCACCCAAAAGGTGGCACGGGCATGAATAGCCCGTAAGTGGTGGCCCTTTTTGAGCCATTACCAGTATCATTAGCTAATACTGGAGATCTGTGGAGATGCGACTGTACCCTGCGTGACGGGAGATGTCTCCCGTCACGCAGGGAGACGGGAGGCTCTCTTCCAGGGCTCTGCCCGGGCTCTCTTCTCATTCAAATTATTATGGCCTGTGTCCCCCACCTCAGCCAGGATGAAGAAAATACAAACTATACAATATTATATATTAGAACTTAGGAAACGACCAAAGACCTTGGAAATTTTCAACCAGTGTAATATTACCAAGGACAAGAAAATACAATTAATTAGTTAATGTAAGAAATGTGTAGGTGAATGAAATCGTCCATTTAAAGAATATGTCACTAATTTTCTCATTAATACGTTACATTAATGTGATTTCTTTGCGCATTTCAAGAGAAGCGTTGGGGTTAGAAGTCCTATACCAGAGCCAGAGCGTATGCGGGTAATGTGTGGAACCCCTGAGTTGGGGTCAGAAAATGTCTCGGGAACACAAAAGGATTCAGGTGATTCCCAGGTTATATTACTTTTTGTATCGTGACCTAGTGGTTTAGGGCGTGTGGTTGGGAGTACCCAGTGTGCAGGTTCGAATCCCTCCTCGTGGCTCCAATGATTTTCTCAATAATAATAATTGAGAAACTTATACAATACCGTAATGTTTGAATGAAGTTGACAGGACCCTATACATGTGTAAGAGTATAATTTTAATTAAATTTTCGGACGAAACCCCCCCATCCTTTATCAAGTTGCTGTTACACAATGTTCTGAACACTGTCTGACAGCACCTTGATTAAGGATGTAGTTTTCATTCGAAAATTTGGTTTAAATTATACCTCTACACATGTATTGGGTCTTTCATTCACCTTCAATACTAATATTTTATTCATACAATAGACAACACACTGGAGTAGTTAAAGTGGTCATATAGTGGGTAAAGTAACTCATTATATAAACACTAATTACGTGCGGCGCTTTGGGCATCACTTAAAATATAATTGTTACCTTAATTTTAGATTTATTAGGTGGTAGGCTAAAATATGCGAATAGTTGAAGAAATTATGCAAATGACACAAAACAAAATTTAATGTGATTCTTAATGCTGAGCCACATAGGCTACAGTTAAATATTATCTGTACTTTAGGAAATGTATATGTTTATCTCTCAGAATGTTCGGTAATACGTTTATTGCTTGTGATGTGTATCTATGTATTAACACGATGTACTGACGGGGTGAGAATAGCTTGAGCTACCTCATCCCTTTGTGTGTATTTTACCTCAATAAACTTATTTCAATTTCAATCTGTACTTTTACTGAAAGCACACAGATTTAGCATCACCAATTCCCGAGGTGTAATGGTAAGACACTCGCCTTGCGTTTCGCGAGCTCTTTGTTCTTGGTTCGTATCCCAGCCGGGGAGGATTTACCGGGCATCAATCCTTAGCGTCTGTTTACCCAACAGTAAAATGGGAACGATTTAGCAGGTCGTATTCCGGGAAACGTAGGATTAAGGACTTGCCCGAAACGCTATGCGTGCTAGTGGCTGTACAAGAATGTAAGAACTCTGGAGAGAAAAAAAATTGTCAGTGGCTGGTAGAACGGTTCCTCCTTCACTAGCCAATAGTTGTGGTTTCTTATTCGAGTTGTTCTTTGATCCTAATGTATGGGAGATTGTTTTACTTTTTATATTATCCTTTATTTTATTTATTTTTTCACAGTAGTTTCTTTGGGGTTTGTATTATCTTAGAAATAATCTCTGGAAATTGCCAATTTTCTATATTTCTTTATTTTTTGTTTCGTTTTTTGTTGATAGAAGGAAGTATGTGTTTAATAAGCCAAGGATTGTTTAATTGTTGGTTGTGACTTGTATCTTAACATGGGACCGTGTATGTTATAGAGTCTTATAGTCTTATGAAGAAATATTTGACCACTTACGTTGATGCTTGTCATACTACAAAGTTCAATCTCAGTTTGTTGTCGACAGCTGCAACAAAGTTGCTATTGGCGGATTCATTTTGCAATCTAATGCCAGTCTTCATTGTTTCTAACAGCGATTTTTATAACTTTTGTCAAATAAAAAATAGGGAAGTGGTTGGTTGTTCCATCGGTGATTGCTATTGAGGTTAGTGAAGAGATTTTTAATTGTTAAAATGTGGTCAAGGGTAGAGGCAGTAGTCTAAGTAATTCCGTTGGGCTTAGTAATTATGGATATTAGCATACAAGAGTTTATACAGATGCAGCATTTGGTGGGTCCTGGGTGCATCTTTGCTTGTCACTCGCTGGTTATATGTAGTTGAGTACTCTGTCAAAAGTGATTCAACGGGCAATTGTTTTCCATAGAAACTAGAGGTTCTGGTTGTATAGAGTTCACCCAACAATACCCGTGGTCGTAACAGATCTCGTATATATATAATACTGTAACTTTTCATCAGTTCTACCATAATGGAATATATTAATAGCTAATCCATATTGTTATAGCTTTCACTTTGTTAAAATGTATATCCGGGCACACAGGTTAATAAAAATATTGTTAGCTGTTCAAATGATTAATCTTCCGCTATTATTGATATTTTGTCTTAATTCCTCAAGACAATACTTAGTATAGTAATTAATTATATACTCCGTGAGGCTATTTAATCCTGGCTTGAAACTGTTCCACTTGCATTACAATTTGCCTGAGTAACAAACCAATCATAGAAGTCATCAATAACGTTGTGTTTATACAGGTCTTGATCATACAGTTGAACACAAAGATCACATAATACACGACTTCCACCAACCGTTGATGGCTGGTAGTAATGTCGCCACGTTAAGTAGGCTTCGTACTCCTGTTGGGAGCAAAAGAATTTATATTAATATTAAAATCATGAAGATTTAGTTACAAAAACGTGTTAGATTTAGGTATTAATATATATATACATATGCCTCTTACTGTACTGTCTATTGTAATTTATAATCAAGCCTATCAGAGTTATCTGTAATTCTGCTTAGTAACTAAACCACATAATTCATAATTACTGATAAAACAGAAGATCATCATTTCACTTATATTGTTCTAATAACGAAAAATTTCCAACATTTTTCAAAGCATTTATCGATTTAAAAATTAAACCGCAAATTCACCTAAAAGTCAAAACTTGACAGAAAAACTAAACAGTTTACTGAACTGCACATAATGTTAATGGGAAAGAAAGAAACTCCATCGATATCCTAAAGTTCCGTTACACATATTGCCCTCTGCAGTGCTAACTGAATATTGACCAACAGACATGAAGGTTATATTCTAAGGTGACCTTTAGCACACGTTAAAGCAGTTGTCTCGCAACCAATAGGCTCTGGGTGCGATTCCTACGAAGAACCCAGAGCCAATCTGTTGTTATCCAATCGGGAAAATTAGGTTTTGGGTTTGGATGGCTACAATAACGGGTTCTGAGTTCATCCTGGCTGCTGTTCTAGATTCTGCATTCTGCCTAGTATTATGCCTCCTTGATCCAAACTTCACATTTTCCAGTTCATTGGAAGATTGGTGAAATTATACCAACTGCATGTGAACGCTCTAGACCTTCCCAGATTTGACACGTTCAAAGTCAATTCGGCAATGACATGCAAGTAAATTCTGATGAGTGACTTCTGGAGATCGAGTTGGACACTTATTGGCCAGTATCTGAGGCTTCGAGCAAACCTGTTTCTACCAAACTGTATTTCCTGGGAGCTTCTGAGGCAGTTCAAACACTGTCCAGGGGCCAGATTCACGAAGCAGTTACGCAAGCACTTACGAACGTGTACATCTTTCCTCAATCTTTGACGGCTTTGGTTACATTTATTAAACAGTTTACAAGCATGAAAAGTTCCTAATCAACTGTTGTTATTGTTATAAACAGCCTCATGGTGCTTCGGAGCTCATTAACTGTTTAATAATTGTAAACAAAGCCGCCAAAGCTTGAGAAAAGATGTACAGGTTCGTAAGTGCTTGCTTAACTGCTTCGTGAATCTGGCCCCTGTTCTTCGTATCGTACCCACTTTCGTAATATTTGTTAATGATAGTTCTCCTTCTTATGCAGTATTTCTGGTTATTTACAGTGCACTGACTACATGGATAATGTAGCTAAGTTTGTATGTTGAATTCTTCAAGCAAAAGTTTCGAACGTTCTTTGAATTAAGATGGCCGAAGAATTTGTAAATTATTTGTACAAATTTGACTGATGGAAAGTGAGTTTTCAGATGACATAATCCAAGAGATGACATTAGTAGACGACCGTACAGTGACAGGGGATGGCATAGACAGCCGTGACAAGTGATGACATAAGCAGAGCAGTGATAGCTGATATAGACAGAATACTCACAGGTGATGACGTATACAGATGACACTGATTACTTGGGCTAAGGCGAATTCAGGGAAAATAATACTCACTAAATAAAAACTTATGACGCCCGATGGATGTGATTGAGTCAAACTGAAAGACGAAGCTGCCGGACCACTAAATACAGTAAATAAAATAAAGGAGCGAGAGACGTTAGTAGTAGATGTAGTAGTAGTAGATGTAGTAGAATAACATCAATAATTCCTGTATAACGGTATTCAAACAACTTCAAGTCTTACCTTCGGATGAAGAGCCAAGTACTGTAACCTTCGAGCAAGTTGTTCTGGCGTGTAGTCGAGTGCGTTGATGTAGGATTTAGGAGGGAGCAAGGCAGAATAGTCTGCTGCCCCCAATACCACAGGAACTATCGGATAGTACAGCAGGTTATATAACTTTTCTGTTACATAGTCCTTACACAATGCGTTTTCAAATGCTAGATAAAAGAGATAATGGTGTCCAGCGTATTGCATACAAGGTTCCCAATCAATCCTATAGTCTTGATAAGCATATAAGGAATACCCACACTTCAGGTCTCCACATTTTCCATAAACATCAATAGGGGCGTGTTTCTTTAAGGCTTCAATATATTTTAATCTTCCACTATCATCATCACAGTTAGAAACAAATGCAACAGCAAGTCTTTGGGTGTTATTAATCTGTTGTAATTCAGGTTGTCTGCGCCATGATGGAGGCAGGAGACTCGCCTCTCCGCCACGACGGACAACAAAGCCATGTAACACGTGAATGTCCGAGTCCTGGCGGTAGTGCATAGTCCGGTTGAAGACTCCATTTAGCGTCTTGTAGTCATTGAAATAAAAGGGATTTGCCCTGAAATGTGTTTCTACTTCAAACATGATCCACGGCTGAGATGCATCTCGTCGTCCTAAGTCTCTTATTAAGAGTTCCTTACTTCTTACACTTGACAAATGTATTAACACGGCATCTGCACTTGTTACCTGTTTTTAAATAGAAAAACCAACTTGTATATCATTAAGATAGAGTTCAGTTTTTAAAACAGTAATGCAACAAATTGATATCAAATGAAAATGCCCCCAAAAAAAGGCCCAAAAAAAGCACTAACGATGCACTTATTAGTATGCTTAACTCGATTCATACAGCTCTTGATAAAAATGAGTTCCCTGTTGGGTTATTTGTGGACCTGCGTAAAGCTTTCGATACTGTCAACCACCAAAACCTTCTTCTTAAATTACATCATTATGGTGTCAGAGGATACTCCCTACAATACCTCAAATCCTACCTTACTGACAGGCTCCAATGTGTTTCTGTGAATAATACAATTTCTCCCACCCTACCCATCAACATTGGTGTTCCCCAGGGCAGCATACTTGGCCCTCTCCTCTTTCTCATCTACATTAATGACCTTCCAAATGCCTCCCAACACCTCAAACCAATCCTATTTGCTGACGACACAACCTTCATTTACTCCAGTCCTGATCCCCTTGCTCTAAATGCCACAGTAAATACTGAGCTAAATAAAGTCCATCTGTGGCTAACTGCCAACAAACTCACCCTTAACATTGACAAAACTTTCTATATTCTGTTTGGCAATAAATCCTCTAATCAAATAAATCTCAAAATAAACAATACCCAAATTTGTAACAAATTAGATGGCAAATTCCTTGGCATTCTCATTGACCACAAGCTGAATTTCCAGGGACACATTCTAAACATATCAAAAAAAGTTTCAAAAACTGTGGGCATTCTTTCTAAGATCAGATATTATGTACCACGCCCTGCCCTGGTGACTCTCTATTACTCCCTTATCTATCCATATCTCAACTATGGTATTTGTGCTTGGGGCTCTACAACCCAAAATCACTTACGTCCTCTAATTACTCAACACAAAGCTGCTATTAGGACAATATCCAATTCTGGCCCCAGACATCACTCGGTACCCCTACTCAAATCCCTGAATATGTTAGACATTAAGTCACTGCACATTCTCTCATGTGTATTATACATATATAAAACGCTAAACTGTAATGCTAATCCTGATCTCAAAAGCTTCATAGAAGGTTGTAACAGAACCCATGAGCACCACACCAGAAATAAATACAGTTTTGATATTCCTAGAGTACGACTTAATCAAACCAGAAATGCTCTACAAATCAAGGGGCCCAGAATGTGGAATGACCTTCCCAACCATGTTAAAGACAGTACCTCTCTCAACCAGTTTAAGTCAAAAACGAAGATATACCTAATAAATTCCCTGTAACCTACCTTACCCTTCTATTGTCAACCCATGTATGTTTTTTTTTTTTTTTTTTGTTTTTCAAATCAACGCTGTTTTAATGTAATTTTCTGTAATAATTTGTAATTGTATTTGTGCTGTTTTCTCAACAATGTTCCCCCCTCTTTTACCTCTATTTTTATTTGTACTCAACGCATTTTTTTCTTTTTACCCATTAGTTTTAAGCTTTAGTCAGTAGTGTTTTTTCCTGCCCGAAACGCTTTGCGTAATAGTGGCTTTAGGCATTGTATGTACTAGCTCTATCTATAAAGCCAACAAACTTTGTAAAATCTCTTTATGTATGTACCTTTGCCTAAATAAAAATTATTATTATTATTATTATTATTATTATTATTATTATTATTATTATTATTATAAAAAAAACATTTTCAGTTGATATGCATTATCAAGTACAGTATATTGTTCCAGCATCACTCTAGAATTCCGCTTGCTCTGTACAAGAAATTAAATATATGCACCAACCTTTTGCGTTTCCACAACTTTCCATGTGTGAAATACAGCGTAGTTCGTTAAATATATTTAATATTATTCCAGTTGAATTTAAAATAATTCTATTATGGACGACTGGAAATATTTTTCCTTTTTTTTATATATTTTAATCATATGAGGATTAGGTACTATTACCTTTTGGTATAACAAGCAAAAGTTAAGCATACAAATGCATTTTGAGAAATTAAATTAGTTTAAATAAGATATTATTATCAATGCTGTAAAAGTTAATCTTTTTACTTGTATAATAAAAAAAAACACAAGAAAGGTTGCATTAAACTTTGATAAACTCAGTTGTGAGCTAGAAGCAGAATTAGATTTAGTAAAAAGACAAGGACAGTCTCCGAAGGAAGTGAATGAAGACTACAATATCATGCACAAGACAAAGAGTGAGAAGTTAACCACCTGTCATGATCAGGATGGTCCTGGATGATGGAACATGATACATTGCAAACAGATGAAGTGTACATATTCAGTCTGGGAGCAGTTAAACCTACAATGCTACTAGACGTATGATTAATCAACACAATGTAAGCTCCTGGGTAGTTTTCAGAGAAGCTAGTGAGTAAATTAGTTAATTAAGAGGAAGCCAGAAGGTTACATAATTTATTGTGTGATACTGTAAGAGATTGGTGGTGGTTGAAGGACTGCCAAAGTGCAATACTTACAGTTATTATTATTATTAACATCTTTATTGGCAAAATTAATAACCAAAAAAAAATCCTAATCTAAGTAATTTAGTTAGGAGTCTGCTCGTAGTCACTGTCACACAGGACAGAGGATCATTCACAAGAGGTCCAAACTGTAGGCTGAAGCACTTATTATATATCATGGTTACAATCAACTGCATTAGACAGTATACATGTTTCAGTTTACGAATTTATAAATCCAACTTTCTATTGTGCACCGCCACACAATGACAGGGATGGATTCATAAGAGATACAGCTTAAAAAAAATTGTTCTTAATTCTTTAAAATGGACAAGCAAATTTAGGATAAATTGTTAGGATGTCGTCCAGTACGCCACATTCAATGAAATAGTTACACAGTTGGTTGTACAATAAGCCAGGAGGTCTAAACTCTTTCACGGTTTCATATTCAACAATATAGTGTTCAAGTGAATGCTTCAAAGGTTTGTCACAGAGTTTACAAGCTGAATATTGTGGTAGTGGCTCAGCCTCACTAACCTGCCAAATAAACCTATAGCCTATGATCACTAACTTGGGCGTAAATATTACAGCCCCGTGACACCACCAACTGCGACAGCATACTAAACACTAATGATGCATTTTACTCAAAACTTGAGTTTTTCAAAGTTTAATGCAGCCTAATTTTCTGTGCTATATAGTGGGTACCATCTCTGGTTGTGTTTGTAGAGACCCTCAGCCTTGAAAAAGTGGATATGCTGTACCCGGGGGGAACCTCGTCGGGCTATCACGTGCGCATTCACATAATGTCTTTTCTGTAATGTGTTATTATATAAGTAAAAAAAAAGTTTATATTTTACACTAAAGTTTATAATATTTTTATTTTCCGTAAACTAGGTTAATTTCTCGGAACCGTAAACTAGGTTAATTTCTCGGAATGCATTAATATTTACAGATAAGGTAATTTCTGCTTATAAAACTGAATCATACCGAAATTTTAACGGAAAAAATATATCTAAAAACAGCTACAGTATATGCATCATTACACTCCAGCAGTGCTACACCGCTTCATACAACTTAAAGGAACGTATGGACGTATAAAGGAACAAGAGATGTTTTTTTTACACATGCGGTTATAAACCCATGGAACCGCCTACCCGCCGAAGCCGTAAATGCCAAAACTGTTGGGATTTAAAGTACAACTTGAAAAGATCATTAGGGCAAATGGCTGGGTGGGTGGGGAGGGGACCTTTGACAAGCCGTTAGCTTCCTGTCCTCGCTGAGGCAACTAGTATTGGTGACCCTTAGGTAAATTCAGATAAATAAAGTGCTTTCAACATGTTGACACTGAATATTCCAACATGCACTTTGCTTTGATGTCCAAAGGGATTGGAAAGGATGGGGGAGGTAGAGGGATGGGGAGATGAAATCCAGGAAGAGGATGCGGGTGTAGAGAGAGAGGAGGTTTGAAAGTTCGGTGGCCTGTCCACCATGGGTTGACATTTGTGTATGTGTTGTTTGTTGCACTTGTTCTTAAGAAACTGATGCCACCCAGGTCATAACATTGGTAATTATCTTAGACCAACCTGGCTGATGTCTGCAGTGATGATGCAGGGTAGTGGACAGTGGCCCTCATTAATGTCATACATATGTGCGAAGAGCCAGTCACTGGTCACATGCAACTTGTTGGCATACATCAACACTTTTGGAATATACCCAGACCTAAATCTGAAGAAAACACATATAATGCATTACATACACAGTATTCACGGGATAAAACATATCTAGATAGGCTACATAAAAGATACAATTGTAGAAATAAAGTACTCAACAAAACAGAGAAAATGCGAAAATCTGACGTGCGGATCATATACTTAATACCTTTTTACATTCATCAAGATAAATATGATTAAATTCATTAGAGTAAAGGACTTTGTCACTATACAAATGTTTTATAGATGTCTATTTCTAAAGAAGTTCTAATTAGTAGGTAGAGTGCCCACTTCATTCAACGGTGTGATGTCATATCCTGTCGACAACAGGCTCTTTAACTATAGAAATTGATAGTACCCAGTTCCATGAATGATGTGATGTTATATCAACTAGCTACCAGAACAGTGAAAAACATAGTAGGAATAATATTTTGTGATTCAAAGTCTGCTCTTCAAGCAATCGAAAAATTCTTCTGGAAGATCGACAGCAAGAACCTCATACAAGCATTTGTAAATGACCTAATTGCTGCACATAGTAAAGGGTTTGGAAGCTCCTTTGAACCTCCCATCACATACAAATATAACCCATCACAATGACACAAACATTGCAGCAAAATTAGCGTGTAACAAAGTTAAAGTTGAATTAGACCTAGGTATCCCTATCTCTGCTGTCAAAACTATATTGTACCAAACACTCAGGTCTGATAGGTGAGATATATGCCTAACGTATATATATATTCCTATTCCAGCGCCTCAGTGTCGCAGTTCAGAGGGGAAATGCGTGCTGTATCCTGGGTACGCACTCAACCTCCGAGGAGCTGGACGAGGTCTTCGAACGCTGATTGTTATATTGTTACATATATGTGTGTTTTCTCTGTACACTGTAGCATTGCAATAAAATAAAATAAAATAAAATAAAACAAAACAAAACATACAACAAAATAATAGCGGTGGTAGGAGAAGAAAAGATTAAAGTGTTCAGTGAGAATCCACAAGATCTTCTCTGAAAGCTCTTTGTTTTCTTCTTCGAGGATGTGGGTCCCTGCAATCGCTCCTGAGGTGGTACCCCAAAATATAATATATATATATATATATATATATATATATATATATATATATATATATATATATATATATATATATATATATATATATATATATATATGTATGTATACACTGGCTGCCTGTTCCCCGACACAATGAATTTGTATTTTTATATTTCATTTGATCCCTAGTTGACTACCATGCCCTGCACCTTATTAATCTCCCCAACACTAAGCTGAAAATATTAAAGAAAATTTAAAATGAAGTCATGACGATAATTCTTGGAACCCCAGACGCACAAGAACCAACTGAACTAAAACATCACTAGTGGCAATTACCTTCTACGAGGAGTCTCCATATAAGATTGTTCTGCAGCCTGACGATACGCCTCTAACACAGGGGCTAAGAACATGTCTTTAAACTCCTCAACTGCAACTAAAACGTGATACAAAAGTACAAATTAATGTTACATATGTACAGCTTTAGCTTACTTATTATTAATGATTGATTTATTAATGTTACGCCTGATCAGTCGTCAACACCCAGTTGCCGACTGGGTGTTATTAAATTATTAGCACATTAGTTTTACCCAGAATCGTGGAACAAACTTCCCAAAGGCAACAGTTCGATATAACAGCTTACTTGGCGAGTGCACGGCCCGGCCCCCAGCGATGGGCCCAATTCATTATTAAAGGTATGATGCAGACGAGGAGTCACAATAACGTGACTGAAATATGTTGACCAGACCACACACTAGAAAGTGCAGGGACGACGAAGTTTTGGTCCGTCCTGGACCATTCTCAAGTCGATTGTGAGAATGACAATCGACTTGAGAATGGTCTAGGACGGACCGAAACGTCGTCGTCCCTTCACTTTCTAGTGTGTGGTCTGATCAACAAAGGTATGATGGCATCCTCACCAAGTCCCAATGATAAGAGAAACTGCTTAAAATTAATATTCATTAACAAACCCCCACTCCCACTTATAACAATGTTCTTGCCTTTTGAAGGTTACTTTACTGTCTTCTACTCCCTTTGTAATAGCATGGACTAATATAGGCAGATACTATTTATTTATATTTTATACAAGAGATCTTGCATTCTTGTACAGCTACCAGCACGCGTAGCGTTTCGGCCAAGTCCTTAATCCTAATGTTCCCTGGAATACGACCCGCCAAATCGTTTAACAACCAGGTACCTGTTGGTTACTGTTGGGTAAACAGAGGCTACAGTTAAGGATTGGCGCCCAGTAAATCCTCCCCGGCCATGATACGAACCCATGACATAGCGCTCGCGAATCATCAGACGAGTGTCTTACCACTTTGCCACGGGGACTAAGCAAGCAAGACTAGACAAACAATAAAGCACTATGGAAATCGTTATGGCTTACCCAGAAAACCGATACAAACACTCATACTGGATCCTCTGACAGAGCATTATATGAACATAAAGGGGTTAAAGAAAGAAACATTATACCTATAAATATAAAGAAAGAGAATACTACAAATATACATGAAAATGATGGCAACAATCTTGTTTGAACGACTAATGCTGCAGGTAATCTGGATGTTCAACCTCAGATCAACATAAACCAATCGAATTCTCCCTGCCTCTCTGGCACTATATCGGAAAACTTTCCTACTGTAACCGTTCCTTCCATTAAGTTACCTTGCTACATATTTCACAAAACTATGCATAATTTAACATTCCTACTGGTTATTCACAAGTGCATGGTTTGGAACAGCTAAATGCATGGTCTGGAACATAGCATCACATGAACAAATCCACAAGGGCCGTGACGAGGATTCGAACCTGCGTCCGGGAGCATCCCAGACGCTGCCTTAATCATTTGTTCATTTGATACATCACGTTATTGTGATTTTGTGTGTAATAGCATCACATATTCACAAATAATCACGTCCCCGGCAGAGCCATAACACCTGGAAGTCGCTCAACGGAATAATAATTCTGCTATCTCTTTGCTTTACTCTCTCTCAACGCAATGTTTTATTGTTGTAATTAATGTAACAATTAATAAATTGTTAAATAAGTTCTTGGCATCATAACAGCTGTTACTGCGGAAAAAACTCCCACATCACCCATAAATTGTTAATGCGACAGGTAGAAATAAATTCGTGCTGGTTGTGTTAATTCCGTTATAAATAAACACATTAGTTAGTCATAAAAGAAACTGAACATGACGAAATTACTCCAAAATACGGGATTATTTCCCCGTGTCGTTATTGTCTTATTTATATATATATATATATATATATATATATATATATATATATATATATATATATATATATATATATATATATAACTGAAAACTCACACCCCAGAAGTGACTCGAACCCATACTCCCAGAAGCAACGCAACTGGTATGTACAAGACGCCTTAATCCACTTGACCATCACGACCGGACATAATGAGGTGATAGCCGAGGCTATTTGAACCACCCCACCGCCGGCACTCGGATAGTAATCTTGGGCATAGCATTTTACCAAATCACCTCATTCTTTGGGGCACACGTGAGGAACACAAATGCGAAATATATATATATATATATATATATATATATATATATATATATATATATATATATATATATATATATATATATATATATATATATATATATATGTCGTACCTAGTAGCCAGAACGCACTTCTCAGCCTACTATTCAAGGCCTGATTTGCCTAATAAGCCAAGTTTTCATGAATTAATGTTTTTTCGTCTACCTAACCTACCTAACCTAACCTAACCTAGCTTTTTTTGGCTACCTAACCTAACCTTACCTATAAATATAGGTTAGGTTAGGTTAGGTAGGGTTGGTTAGGTTCGGTCATATATCTACGTTAATTTTAACTCCAATAAAAAAAATTGACCTCATACATAGAGAAAAGGGTTGGTTTTTTATTTCATAAGAAAAAAATTATAGTAAATATATTAATTCAGGAAAACTTGGCTTATTAGGCAAATCGGGCCTTGAATAGTAGGCTGAGAAGTGAGTTCTGGCTACTAGGTACGACATATATATATATATATATATATATATATATATATATATATATATATATATATATATATATATATATATATATATATATATGTCGTACCTAGTAGCCAGAACTCACTTCTCAGCCTACTATTCAAGGCCCGATTTGCCTAATAAGCCAAGTTTTCCTGAATTAATATATTTACTATAATTTTTTTCTTATGAAATGATAAAGCAACCCTTTTCTCTATGTATGAGGTCAATTTTTTTTTATTGGGTTTAGAATTAACGTAGATATATGACCGAACCTAACCAACCCTACCTAACCTAACCTAACCTATATTTATAGGTAAGGTTAGGTTAGGTAGCCAAAAAAAGCTAGGTTAGGTTAGGTTAGGTAGGTTAGGTAGACGAAAAAACATTAATTCATGAAAACTTGGCTTATTAGGCAAATCGGGCCTTGAATAGTAGGCTTAGAAGTGCGTTCTGGCTATTAGGTACGACATATATATATATATATATATATATATATATATATATATATATATATATATATATATATATATATATATATATATATGTCGTACCTAGTAGCCAGAACGCACTTCTCAGCCTAATATGCAAGACCAAATTTGCCTAATAAGCCAAGTTTTTCTCAATTAATATATTTTCTCTATTTTTTTTCTTATGAAATGATAAAGCTACCCATTTCATTATGTATGATGTCAATTTTTTTTTATTGGAGTTAAAATTAACGTAGATATATGACCAAACCTAACCAACCCTACCTAACCTAACCTAACCTATCTTTATAGGTTAGGTTAGGTTAGGTAGCCGAAAAAGTTAGGTTAGGTTGGGTTAGGTAGTCGAAAAACAATTAATTCATGAAAACTTGGCTTACTAGGCAAATTTGGCCTTGCATAGTAGGCTGAGAAGTGAGTTCTGGCTACTAGGTACGACATATATATATATATATATATATATATATATATATATATATATATATATATATATATATATATATATATATATATATATATATATATATATATATATATATATATATATATATATATATATATATATATATATATATATATATATATATATATATATATATATATACAAGAAGGTACATTGGGTTTATGAGAGTATCATTATGGTACTTAATCTAACATAATTTTAAGTAGGTAATTTCCAGCAAAACTGAGAAATATTAGCAGGTACATTGTAAGAAAATTTGACAAATATTAGTAGGTACTTTATAGTAAAATTTGAGGATTATCAACAGATACATTATAGCACAATTTGAGGATTATTTCTAGGTATAATGTAGTAAAATATGCGTTTAATATAACAATGATTGTTCTCTCCATGATTGCAAAACTGACTATGATAGATCAAACAAGGGATATATAAAAATAAATAGCGATTCTTGTATTTTAAATATATATTTTAGTTAACTAATTTCCAAAATGACGATACAGAAACAAACATTAGATTACCTGACTGGTTGATGTGTCCGGCATCAGAAGCAGTGAGAGGCATGTATAATGAACCCCAACTTAGCGGACTCCCCCTAAGTGGCAGCTTCAGGCAGCGGCTGCTCTGGCTGATGATATATTGCAACCTGGAAACATGAACTATTATCAGTAAAGATTTAGGCAACCTTCTGATTATTATTATACCTATAATAAAGAGGTGTCTGCCTGTGTGCATGGTTGGAGGACAGATGCTTTGGCTAGCCTCACCCAACTTTGCAGGGTGATTGTAGGTGTCACCAATCAAGGCCCCTCCCCCCTAACCTTGAAGGAGTGGCTTGAGTTGGCCACGATGCCCACTGCCATGGACCCGATGATGTCAGTGGAGGAAAGACGTGCCATAATGCATGTTTTGATGACATCTGCATTCTGAAGGCTCCCGGCACTTATGTCACAACATTTTGGGATCAACCACATGTCGGTGTCCTTGGCAAAAATGGTGGGGGGAATATGGGGTTCTGCAGCCACGGGTTCTGTATCAAACCCAATGAAACCTTTCTCGGTGGGTGTAATAGGACATCTGTTAGATGGTCATGATGAAGTCGGTGAGGGGGCAAGACATTCCAGAACGCATGTTCTGATGGCAGATTTGCCCTCTGGATATGCCAGCTAGTTTCTATAGTAAACAGCTGCATTTTTGTAATAATGGCCAAATCCCTACTTACTGAAATTAAGTATGAACTGAATAGTAGTAACTACATCCACGCCTCCACCCATCACCACCACTAGGCCACAGTCTAGGGAAGTTAAGTTGGAAGCCTTCATGGGAATGAGTGATCACAGTGTAATGATATTTGAGTACCGGGTAGAGCTAGGATTAATCCCCCCCCCACACACACACACACATACAAAAAAAACTAGAAAACAAGAGGCTAGTGTACCGAAAGGGAAGTTATAAGATGAGAATATTCATAAGATATATACCATGGGACACAGAACTCAGAATTAAGTCCGTACAAGTCATGATGGACTATGTCACCCAAAAGTGTCAGGAGGCAGTAAACAGGTTTATCACGCCCCAAAAGGAAAACAATGAGAAGGCAGATAAGTATCCGTGATTTAATATTCATATATGGAAGCAAATGAAATGAACACAAGGTCGTTGAAGAACTTCCGAAATAACAGATCACCAGAAAGCAGGGAGAGAGATATAATAGAGCCAGGAATGAATATGTCAGTGTGAGAAGAGAAGCAGAGACAGAATGAAAATTATATTGCAAATAAAATCAAGACCGAACCAAAACTGCTCCACAGTCACATCAGGAGGAAACCAACAGTGAAAGAACAGGCGATGAAACTTAGAACGGGTGAGGACAGGTACACAGAAAGACAAAGAAGTGCGTGAAGAACCCAACAAGAGATTCCAAGAGGTCTTCACAACAGAACGAGGTGAAGTCCCTTAGCTAGGAGAGGTGGCAGTAAACCAGGCGGCGTTGGAATGGTTCGAAATTACCAGAGACGAGGTTAAGACATAAATTACCAGAGACAGATCCATCTGTTGGATCTGGAAGTGAGAAAGGCTGTTGATGCGGACGGAATCTCACCATGGGTAATGAAAGAGTGCGCAGAAGCACTTTGCTTGTTACTCTCCATAGTGTATCGTAAGTCACTGGAGACGGGAGACCTACCAGAAATATGAAAGACGGCTAATGTAGTCCCAATATACGAATAAGGGTGGCAGGCAAGAGGCAGTGAACTACAGGCTAGTGTCCTTAACTCGTATACCATGCAAGGTGATAGAGACGATCGTGAGAAAAAAAACGTGTAGCACATCTGGAGAAAAGGGACTTCGTGGCACACCATCAACTTGGGTTTAGGGAGGGTAAATCTTGCATCACTGGTTTAATAGAATTTTACGATCAGGTGACAAAGCTCTGTACCTAGTGTTACCCAATCTCCTAATTTTTATGTAATATCAAACAACCTTATCATTGTGTTCATTGCTGTCTTCTTTTATGTGCTAGCCATATGCTGTATTGTGACTACCAATTTTTGTCAACTACCATTCAAGCTGTCATTGCAATCAATCTTATATTGTTTCTGCTGTATTGTGCCTACCAATTTATTGTCAACTACCATTTTAAGCTGTCATTGCAATCACTCTTAGCTACCTATGTGCTTTAATATACTGTACCTACAATTTTCTCTCATCTTTTTTTTTTTCATTTCATGTAATCTGTTATCATTTTTTTGTCTATAAATTTTGCAAGTATTTACCTCCTTAAAATTTTCTTAGATTAAGGACCTGCCCGAAACGCTGCGCGTGCTAGTGGCTTTACAAGACTGTAATTACCATATTTGTATCCTCACATTCCTTATGTACATTCTTGTATATGCATAAATAAATAAATAAATAATAAATAAATAAATAAAGATTAAGCAAGAAAGAGAAGGATGGGCACACTGCATTTTCTTGGACTGTCGAAAAGCCTTTGACACAGTACTCCGTAAGAAGCTGGTGCATAAGTTGGAGAAACAGGCAAGAGTAACTAACTGGTAAGGTGCTCCAGTGGATAAGGGAATACCTAAGCAATAGTTAGCAGAGTTACAGTGAGGGGTGAGACCTCAGACTGGCATGAAGTCGCCAGTGGAGTCCCACAGGGTTCGGTACTCAGCCCAATCCTGTTTCTGATATTCGTAAATGATCTTCCAGAGGGAATAGACTCATTTCTCTCAAAGTTTGCTGATGATGCCAAAATTATGAGAAGGATTTAGACAGAGGACAACATGAGGCTTCAAGAAGACCCGGGCAAACTGAAGGAATAGTCCAACAGATGGTTCTTTGAGTTTAACCCGGACAAATGTAATGTAATGAAGATATGTGTAGGAAGCAGGAGACCTGTTATGACCCTTGACCTCTGGGTATGGTCCCTTTGCTTTTGCAGTTGTAAAATAGATATAAATGCGGCCTTGCCAACTACAAATGTCTAGGGTAAATAAGCCAACTGCTTAATCAGCAAAGCAATATACTTTAAGTAAGGGTAAAAAAAAGTTACATACATATAAATGAAATACAAGTAGCTAGAAATATTATTGCACCAGAATGAAATAACATACTATAATTATATATCAGCACTGATCACTATTGTAAAACTTAGATGAATAGATGGGTATACATATAATGGTCTAACCAGGCAATTAGCTATGTACCTAAACAATAAACAGGTACCAAAGTCTTATCTCATTGCATGTCCACCCCAGCCTGCCTCACCCACGTGACTGACGAGGCCAGCTGTCTGCCACGATGGCGTTCACACAATACCAACTGAATACACACAAGAATACTCTCAGATACTCTGCTATCTGAGAGTAATAATTATGAACATATTTGTAAATACACTAATATACATTTAACATTATTAAGGTGTAATTAATTTTCTATAGACAAGAAAACTTAATAATTTATAGGGGTGAATCAATGACGCTGTGTTGGATACACTGCGCACGTCATTGGAACATCCATATATGGTCATTCCCCAATAAGATACCACCGCCCCCACAGGAATAAACATGCAATTACATTAACAAAAATATTACATACAGACACACTACAGTATGCTACATTTAACTCAAACATATATATTGGAAAATAAATGGGCATAATGGTTAATTTCAAATAACTCAGGAAAGAATAATGAACATATATCTTTATCATGATAAATGTTAGAATCAAGTATTATGAATTCATAACAAGACCAGATACAAGGTATCATTTGGGAGATGAAAGTCTTCAAGAATCAGAGAGACAGAAAGACCTGGGCTTTGATATCACACCAGCTCTGTCCCCCGAAGCCCATATCAAGAGGATAACATCAGCGGAATATGCCAGGTTGGCCAACATAAGAACGACCTTTAGAAACTTGTGTAAGAAATCATTCAAAACCTGGCATACCATGTATGTCAGACCAATCCTGGAGTATGCAGCTCCAGCATGGAGTCCATATCTTGTCAAGCATAAGACTAAATTGGAGAAGGTTCAGAAGTTTGCCACCAGACAAGTGCTCGAACTGAGGGGTATGGGCTACGAGGAGAGACTACAGGAATTTAACCTCACGTCACTTGAAGACAGAAATGTTAAGGGGACATGCTCACCACATACAAGATTCTCAAAGGAATTGATAGGGTAGTCAAAGACAGTTTATTTAACAAAAGGGGCACACACACTAGGGGACACAGGTAGAAATTGAGTGCCCAAATGAACCTTAGAATTAAACAAATGAAAGAATTTGTTTAGTGTCAGAGTAGTTAACAAATGGAATGCATTAGGAAGTGATGTGGTAGAAATTGACTCCATACACAGTTTCAAATGTTCGTATAATAGAGCCCAATAGGCTCGAAATCCTGTACACCAGTTGATTGACAGTTGAGAGGCGGGATCAAAGAGCAGAAACTCAACTCCCGCAAGCACAACTAGGGGAGTACAACTAGATGAATACAGTAACTGGACACCACCACCAGTAAAGATTGCAGTTAAGGCAGAAAACTCTATAGATAGTTGGAGACACTCAAACAGGTAGTCAACTTTACAAACAAAGACGCTAGCTGTTCAAAAGTCTCTGAAACATGCTCTTGTGATCTAACAGGGCAGACGGGAACTATGAGTTCCTACGTAATCTTCTTTAGTTTGTAACTCTAATCTGTGTTAGATAATGTTCCAGTGGTCTGTCTGTCATTTCTCCACAGAGCTGACATATCCTCTCATCTTCTGGAATCTGTAAGCCTATTTCCCATACACATAGTTATCCAAGTATAATGCAGTGTAAGTGCACTTCTTTTTTTCTACTGCTCTCTTTCATCAAAATTAATGGTTCGTAGTTGGTTGAAGTCTTGTACCAACCTGCAGATTGGTACCAACAAGATCACAACATGTTTCAAAACACATTGGACACAATTTTACTGAGTACTCATCCACTGAGTAAGACAAAAATGAGTAACACTAAGTGGGCCAGCCAGAGAATTAGGGCCCGTGCAGGCATATCCTTATAAACCAACAAGCAATAAGCCACCAGTACACAGTAACTAGACGTCACAACCCATCACCACCACCAGGCAAACACGTTGAAGGAGAAGGTCAGGTCAACACCTGGAGGAAGTCAGGTCAAAATGTAGAGGAAGAAGGTCAGGTCACCAGATGGATGGAGGTCAGGTCACCAGATGGAGAGATAAGGTCAGATCACCAGATGGATGGAGGTCAGGTCACCACGAGGAGGGAGGAGGAGGTCAGGTCACCACGAGGAGAGAGGAGGAGGTCAGGTCAACACGGGAACAGCTTACCTGAGCGTCAGCAACAATGGGACCACCAACAGCCAGAGGCAATACAGTGGTACTCTGGACTTCATGATGGCGTTGTGGTTGTCGTTGAGTGATGGTTCAGTTTTTTGTGTTCAGTCAGTGGTTAATTATGTGGCACCTGCTGGTTAATGATGGTCCCTGCTGGTTGATTTAGGAGCTGCTGATTGTCGTAACAGCTACGGGTTGCTGTAGCAGCTGCTGGTTGATGTTGCAGCTGCTGGTTGATGTTGCAGCTGCTGGTTGATGTAGCAGCTGCTGGTTGATGATGTGGTCCCTGCTGGTTGATGTAGCAGCTGCTGGTTGATGTTGCAGCTGCTGGTTGATGTAGCAGCTGCTGGTTGATGTAGCAGCTGCTGGTTGATGTTGCAGCTGCTGGTTGATGTAGCAGCTGCTGGTTGATGTTGCAGCTGCTGGTTGATGTAGCAGCTGCTGGTTGATGTAGCAGCTGCTGGTTGATGTTGCAGCTGCTGGTTGATGTAGCAGCTGCTGGTTGATGTAGCAGCTGCTGGTTGATGTTGCAGCTGCTGGTTGATGTAGCAGCTGCTGGTTGATGTAGGAGCTGCTGATTGTCGTAACAGCTACGGGTTGCTGTAGCAGCTGCTGGTTGATGTTGCAGCTGCTGGTTGATGTTGCAGCTGCTGGTTGAAGTAGCAGCTGCTGGTTGATGATGTGGTCCCTGCTGGTTGATGTAGCAGCTGCTGGTTGATGTTGCAGCTGCTGGTTGATGTAGCAGCTGCTGGTTGATGTTGCAGCTGCTGGTTGATGTAGCAGCTGCTGGTTGATGTAGCAGCTGCTGGTTGATGTTGCAGCTGCTGGTTGATGTAGCAGCTGCTGGTTGATGTTGCAGCTGCTGGTTGATGTAGCAGCTGCTGGTTGATGTAGCAGCTGCTGGTTGATGTTGCAGCTGCTGGTTGATGTAGCAGCTGCTGGTTGATGTTGCAGCTGCTGGTTGATGTAGCAGCTGCTGGTTGATGTTGCAGCTGCTGGTTGATGTAGCAGCTGTTGGTTGATGTAGCAGCTGCTGGTTGATGTTGCAGCTGCTGGTTGATGTAGCAGCTGCTGGTTGATGATGTGGTCCCTGCTGGTTGATGTAGCAGCTGCTGGCTGATGTAGCAGCTGCTGGTTGATGATGTGGTCCCTGCTGGTTGATGTAGCAGCTGCTGGTTGATGTATCAGCTGCTGGTTGATGTAGCAGCTGCTGGTTGATGTAGCAGCTGCTGGTTGATGTAGCAGCTGCTGGTTGACGTACCAGCTGCTGGTTGATGTAGCAGCTGCTGGTTGATGTATCAGTTGCTGGTTGATGTAGCAGTTGCTGGTTGATGTAGCAGCTGCTGGTTGATGTAGCAGCTGCTGGTTGATGTATCAGCTGCTGGTTGATGTAGCAGCTGCTGGTTGATGTACCAGCTGCTGGTTGATGTAGCAGCTGCTGGTTGACGTACCAGCTGCTGGTTGATGTAGCAGCTGCTGGTTGATGTATCAGTTGCTGGTTGATGTAGCAGTTGCTGGTTGATGTAGCAGCTGCTGGTTGATGTAGCAGCTGCTGGTTGATGTAGTAGTTGCTGGTTGATGTAGTAGTTGCTGGTTGATGTAGCAGCTGCTGGTTGATGTAGCAGCTGCTGGTTGATGTAGCAGCTGCTGGTTGATGTAGCAGCTGCTGGTTGATGTAGCAGCTGCTGGTTGATGTTGCAGCTGCTGGTTGATGTTGCAGCTGCTGGTTGATGTAGCAGCTGCTGGTTGATGTAGCAGCTGCTGGTTGATGTAGCAGCTGCTGGTTGATGTAGCAGCTGCTGGTTGATGTAGCAGCTGCTGGTTGATGTAGCAGCTTCTGGTTGATGTAGTAGTTGCTGGGTGGCGATATGTCCCAAAGTTACACACCGACCTCACGAGATTGATGTTATGGCCAAGAACTGGAAGATAAAACAAAGAACAGTATACATTATTTGTAACAATGTACCTTCCTTTTTCTTCACCACCTCTCCTACTCTTCACCACCTCTCCTACTCTTCACCACCTCTCCTACTCTTCACCACCTCTCCTACTCTTCACCACCTCTCCTACTCTTCACCACCTCCCCTACTCTTCACCACCTCCCCAACTCTTCACCACCTCCCCTACTCTTCACCACCTCCCCAACTCTTCACCACCTCCCCAACTCTTCACCACCTCCCCAACTCTTCACCACCTCCCCAACTCTTCACCACTTCCCCAACTCTTCACCACCTCCCCAACTCTTCACCACCTCCCCAACTCTTCACCACCTCTCCAACTCTTCACCACCTCCCCAACTCTTCACCACCTCCCCTACTCTTCACCACCTCCCCAACTCTTCACCACTTCCCCAACTCTTCACCACCTCCCCAACTCTTCACCACCTCCCCAACTCTTCACCACCTCCCCAACTCTTCACCACTTCCCCAACTCTTCACCACCTCCCCAACTCTTCACCACCTCCCCAACTCTTCACCACCTCCCCAACTCTTCACCACCTCCCCAACTCTTCACCACCTCCCCTACTCTTCACCACCTCCCCAACTCTTCACCACCTCCCCAACTCTTCACCACCTCCCCAACTCTTCACCACCTCCCCAACTCTTCACCACTTCCCCAACTCTTCACCACCTCCCCAACTCTTCACCACCTCCCCAACTCTTCACCACCTCTCCTACTCTTCACCACCTCCCCAACTCTTCACCACCTCCCCTACTCTTCACCACCTCCCCAACTCTTCACCACCTCCCCAACTCTTCACCACCTCCCCAACTCTTCACCACCTCCCCAACTCTTCACCACCTCCCCAACTCTTCACCACCTCCCCAACTCTTCACCACCTCCCCAACTCTTCACCACCTCCCCTACTCTTCACCACCTCCCCTACTCTTCACCACCTCCCCAACTCTTCACCACCTCCCCTACTCTTCACCACCTCCCCAACTCTTCACCACCTCCCCAACTCTTCACCACCTCCCCTACTCTTCACCACCTCCCCTACTCTTCACCACCTCCCCAACTCTTCACCACCTCCCCAACTCTTCACCACCTCCTCTACTCTTCACCACCTCCCCAACTCTTCACCACCTCCCCTACTCTTCACCACCTCCCCAACTCTTCACCACCTCACCTACTCTTCACCACCTCCCCAACTCTTCACCATCTCACCTACTCTTCACCACCTCCCCTACTCTTCACCACCTCCCCAACTCTTCACCACCTCCCCAACTCTTCACCACCTCCCCAACTCTTCACCACCTCCCCAACTCTTCACCATCTCACCTACTCTTCACCATCTCACCTACTCTTCACCATCTCACCTACTCTTCACCATCTCACCTACTCTTCACCACCTCCCCAACTCTTCACCACCTCCCCAACTCTTCACCACCTCCCCAACTCTTCACCATCTCACCTACTCTTCACCATCTCACCTACTCTTCACCATCTCACCTACTCTTCACCATCTCACCTACTCTTCACCACCTCCCCAACTCTTCACCACCTCCCCAACTCTTCACCACCTCCCCAACTCTTCACCACCTCCCCAACTCTTCACCATCTCACCTACTCTTCACCATCTCACCTACTCTTCACCATCTCACCTACTCTTCAACACCTCCTATTATAACCGGTGTATCAACTGCTAATCTACATATGTTCAGGTTCCTGAGCCTTTTGGGTTCTATCATATCTACACTTGAAACTGTGTATGGAGTCAGCCTCCACCACATCACTTCCTAATGCATTCCATTTATTAACTATTCTGACACTGAAAAAAGTTCTTTATAATGTCTCTGTGGCTCATTTGGGAACTCAGCTTCCACCTAAGTCCCCTTGTGCCAGTAACATGTGTGTTAAATAATCCGTCCAATATCTACCCCGTCAATGTAGTTGTAAAGTTGTACAACTACGTTGGTAGTTATAGTTGTACTATACTATAGTTCTCGGTAGGTAGTTGTACTCCTGTCAATTAATGTTCTAAAGTTTTAAACATTGAACTTAAAAATACTGAAATATTTATTAGCAGCCCTTATTTATAATTAGATGAGTTACCTCTTAACTTGCAAATGCGTGTTGTAGCCTACTTGTCTGCAGAACTTGGCAAAACACAGACACCAGAACACATCCGATCAATACCAGTTCTTGATATGTTTTTCTTGATTCCTTGTAGTCCACGCATTACTGAGTCTAAGATGGAAAGATATATGAATAGCTTTTCCTCCTATGGACCCGCCTTCTTCCACAGGCAATAAAATATCCATAATTTACTGAACAAATACTCAGTCGCAAACACTATAATCGTAAGGCCAAAATATATTCTGCAGGGACATATACACCGAGATGTATACCCCATTTATCAGTGTATATAAACTGAGAGATTACTTTAGCTCCAGATATGTTCAGTGTGGATATTTGATAGCCTGTTTCCTGTGAAGAAGACGGATCGATAGGAGGAAAAGGTGTTCATATATCTGTCTATCATAGACTCTGTGATGCGTGGACTACGCAGAATCAAGGAAAACATATCAAGAACTGGTATTGATCGGATGGGTTCTGGTGTCTGTGTTTTGCCAAGTTCTGCAGACAGTTAGGCTGCAACACGCATTTGCAAGTTAAGAGGTAACTCATCTAATTATAAATAAGGCCTGCTAACAAATATTTCAGTATGTTTAAGTTCAATGTTCAAAACTTTAAAACATTAATTGACAGGGGTACAACTAACCACCGATAACTATAACTACTAATGTAGTTGTTCAACACACACCCTGTCAATGTAGTTATACTTTACAAGTACATTGACGGGGTAGATATGGACGGATTATTTAACAATTATTTAACATTTATTTATTTATATACAAGAAGGTACATTGGGTTTGTGAGAATACATAGCATAGTACAGTATTTACACTCTTGTAAAGCCACTAGTACGCGCAGCGTTTCGGGCAGAAACAAAAGGGACTACTCGCACAAAGGGACTTAGGTGGAAGCTGAGTTTTAGTCTAAGTGTTTTTTCCCCACCTCACCTTGCCCGAAATGCTATGTACTAAGCTCTATCTATAAATCCAACATTATGTTTGTAACTAATCCTCTATGTATGTACTTTTACCTGAATAAATATTTGATTTGATGTGATTTGATTTTGACATCAACCAGCAGCTGCTACATCAGCCAGCAACTGCTAC